AAAAAAAAAAAAGAAATAGTAATAATAATAATTGAAATGGTACCGACATAGCCTGTAAATTAGCCGACAGACTAACGGTCTCCAGTTTGACTCCGTAGGTATATTATTTATTTTTTTACAAGTACTTGGAAAATTATTATTATTATATTCGTGAATTTCAAGTAACTAATTTCATGACATTTAGTTGTTAGAAGAACATATAAGATATTAATTTCTAAACATGTGACCATAATGAAAATTTATTACAGAACAAAAAATTCATATAATTCTATTGAATAAAAAAATGATAATTGTGAGAGGAGAATTAAAAATTTCTACTTTAAAAATGTTATTAATGAACTAAGAAAAAAGATTAATAATTTAATCGATTAGATTATGTGTAAAGTGATCTATTGTGCTATCTTAAAAGGAAATTAGTCTATTATACATTAATTTAGCTTAAATAATTTTGAACTTAAATATTGGGTTACATCCATTATAATTAATTATATGAACTTAAGTCAACAATTTTTTTTATTTTTATAAATTTTAACCTCTAACTTTTGATGTATATCGTATACTTTGACCTAGTTGAGATATTTGGCAAGTAAATAATTTATAAAATTTAATATTCATTAAAAAAATGATAAATACTAAAATATTTATATTAATAATTTTGTTTGATAACAAGCTAGTATACGGCCAAACTTATGAAAATTTTCATCTTACGCAATAATATATCATTTGGATGAGAAAATAAGTTGACTGGCGCAAATAATTTAAAATTTAGATTTTAAAAAGAAAAACCCCTTTAATCCCTTGTCTCAAATATATTTTGTAATAATTTAGTATTTAAATATTTAATGATTTAGTTATGAATTTCGAGATCCAAATAACATACAAAAAAATATTCCTATAAACTAAACTAAATTAAACATCTTCTAATAGTGTATGATATAACAATTCTAAATTTTAGAATGATTTACATACGTAGTACAAAACAAATACATATTTTAAAATGTAATAAACAATTTAAAATTTTAGAATGATTTACTAAAAAAATTAAAACTTATAACATATTTTAGAATACATATCAAATATGCTATTTAATGAAATTTCTCTAAAGTTTTTTTCTTTTTGAAGGCTTCAAAAAAATTTAACGCAAAGACTTATCGTTAAAATATTTGTTATTATAATAAACAATGTTACATTTTTTTTGCCAAAACGGGTTCTATGGTGTAGTGGTTAGCACTCTGGACTTTGAATCCAGCGACCTGGGTTCGACTCCCGGTAGGACCTTTTATTTTCAAGATTTTTTTATATCGACAAATAAAATATAAATCTCTAAAGTCAATAAACTCCTTTTCTTTCGGGATTCTCAAATTTATTATAAATTTTTATTTTTCAAGAAGATAAATAACGATTTCACTTTTTTTTTCCCACAGTATTTGGACTGGAACCTATTTCATATTTTGTAATTTTTTATGGTTTCAAAGTGGTAGAGATTATTCATAATATTTTTAATTTAATAACTGCAGAATAAGAGAGCAATTTATTGACGTTAAAGATGGTAAACATATGCCTTCTCCATTTAGCTATCCTCTGGTTAGTAGGTTATTTTATTATTTTGTTAGAAAGTATGTAAATTAAATATAACTATGTGAATAAAAATATATGGAGTAGAGTTTTGATTGACATCCTGCGTATTGATAAAATATAAAATGTACTAAAATTATCTAACAAAAATATTACTAATATAAATACAAATACAATTATTTATAATTCAAGTAGATGAATTGCTGTTGCATTTTGTCAGATAATACTATACTTTTAGAATGAAATATAAAGTAAATCACCAATATATCATTTTGTATTATTATTATTAGTACTACTATTTCGTTTTATCGATGAAGTATATTATTGATATTCTTAATATAAAATATATTATTGATACGATGGTTTTTTACCTTTGTGCCATTTTTAAAAAATGTTTATCACGTGGGTGAGTTCTCATTAGTTAGAATAAAACATGCTATTATCACAAAACCAAAATATCAATGAATATAAATAGGTTAAATTACAAAAAATACAGTTGAATTTTGCTCAAAGTCTCCTCAATACCTCGTCCTTTAAACAAATTGTAATACTACCTCTCAAAAGGGTTTTTAAAATAATACCATTTGAGCCCAACATAATTTAATATTTTGGTTGAAAATTTGATGTAGCATGATATGAACAACGTTGTAATTAATGAAAATTTTTCTATAACAATTAGTTGGCACTACAACAAATTAGATCTTCAACAATGATTGTTCTAAGTTTTCATCTATTACTACGTGGTTGCATATTTTACTACGTTAATATTTCGTTAAAATATTAACTTAACGTACATCTAAAAGGTTTTACGAAAGGTCATATTGAAATTTTTTAAAGTATAGAAGGTATATATATATATATATATATATTTTTGGAAAGGCAAGACGAGATGAAAGTAGGGATAAAAAGGGTGCAACACCAGAATTTTCTAAATAGTCGTATTATTCTCACCAAAATACGCTTAACTGTGAAGTTTTGATAGGATCCGATGTATTAATACTATTAATACTGATATGATCACACTCCATAAATGGTACTTTTAAGCTTGGAGCAAAGCCTCGAAGGTATTTTTTTTATAATTTAGCCATATAAATACATAGAGATATCTTTTAGAATATTACATAAAACTCCCTCAATATTCAGTAAACACAAACATGGATCCCACAACCAGAACCCAAGGATCCCGTGGCAACACGTTCCACATGTAAATACAGAAGAATGCGAGGGCTATTTACGTAATTTCAGTTTGTTCATCGACCACTCCTAGTCTTACTCCACGACTCGCCTTCTCCAGCCTTTGTTTCCCGAATCACCGGTATTGGTATATCTTCATCTCGCAAATAAAAAACCTAGAAAAAGCTTACCGGAGAGGCTCATACCACGATCGGATTCGGAATCTGTATTCCCAGTTAATCAACAATGGTTTCTTCTTTCAGTGGCGATGAAACTGCTCCTTTCTTCGGCTTCCTCGGGGCCGCTGCAGCTCTTGTATTTTCCTGTAAACTTCGCATCTCTATCTTCATTGCTTCTCTTTTTCTGTTTCCTCTTTTAGTTGCGCCGCGGATCCATCAGATTGAATCTGATTTGGTCGCTGATTGAGTCTGATTTAAATTTAAGAAGGGATTACAATCGAGATAACGAACTCTAGGGCTCAGTTTTTGGGAATGAATCTTTTGTTATTGGCCATTTCGGAGATCTTTTTTTGTTTGGGGTTAATCGGGATCGATCTTATTTTCTATTCTACTTTTTAGAAATTGGGGTAATTTGCGAACGATCGGAGTGGATCCTATGCTGTTTTGTTCTCATTTTTCATTTCCGTTTCCCCTTCTTTTATTGGATTAGATATATTTCGCTTCTACCTTCAGAGATGTTTTCAATCCTGTGGAAAAGTAACTCTGATGTTAAAACTCGATCCTGACAACATTTTTATTTTTGATTTGAGAGGGAACTAGCTCGAGAGGATGGGTTGTTTAGAAGTGTCCACAGGGATTTTTGGTTCTGTTAAAGTAACGTATTATAGCATGTTGACCTATCCTTTAGATACTGGAGCACAAAATTATCCAGTTGAACTGGTAGTATATCATAATGAAACTGGTGCTGATAATTTTTTCTCTTACAGGCATGGGTGCTGCATATGGGACTGCAAAGAGTGGAGTCGGAGTGGCCTCCATGGGAGTTATGCGGCCAGAGCTTGTCATGAAATCTATAGTTCCTGTAGTTATGGCTGGAGTGTTGGGTATTTATGGGTTGATCATCGCTGTTATTATTAGTACCGGAATTAACCCAAAAGCAAAGTCTTACTATTTGTTTGATGGGTATGCACATCTGTCTTCTGGACTTGCTTGTGGACTTGCTGGTCTGTCCGCAGGTATGGCAATTGGGATCGTCGGTGATGCTGGTGTTCGGTAATGTTTATTCTCTATCCCTTTTGCTGTAAGGTTTGGATGTTTCTTTTTGTGTTATATGGGACATGATAGTATAGTTACCTTGAATAGCTAAATTTCAGATCTTGTAATTCGATAATTCTACAACACTATAAAGTTAGTGTTATTAAAGTAGATGATAATGGCCTCTAGTGTCCAAATGTGTTGTGCTTTAGTATGGATTGGAATATTGGCAAAATGTTAGAATTTGGAATATTATCATGAACTTTCAATGTTAAATCTCTACTGTACTTGCGATTAATCATCTCATGAGTGGTCTAATTGTGGGGTTGCTTTAACATCTACTCGATCACAAGATCAACAAGCTTCTTTTCCATTTTTGGAGAGTTAGAGATTACGACTCATGGAGTTATCTTTACTTTGTTTATTGGCGTTGATGCTGGCATATTCATCAGTTTGAAATTCGAACTGCAAAATATTTTCTTACCTTTTAGTTCAACCTCGTCTAGTGGTTTTCTTTATTACTTTAATGCATCTGCACTTTGTCTTTTAGTATTAGATAATGATAACGGCATGCTGCATGATTTACAGATCATTTTATTTTCCCTTTCTAATTCACTATGTAGCTAGTCAAATGATATTGCAACTCTTTCACATGTTTTATCTGCTCTTCTTTATTTGATCCTCTCAGGGCCAATGCACAACAACCTAAGCTCTTTGTTGGAATGATTCTCATCCTCATCTTTGCTGAGGCACTTGCCCTCTACGGTCTTATTGTTGGTATCATCCTCTCATCTCGGGCAGGCCAATCTCGTGCAGATTAAAGGATGCCAAGTTGATCCTCTGTCTTTGAATTTATCATTCAAAATGTTTCAAGGAGATTTTGTTTCTATGTTACTTCTGTCATTGTCAAACTGAACCCGTATTGTATTTTATTGAGTGATGGTAATGAGCAGGTTTTATGACAAACCTCCATGCTCGCCTCCTGTTGCTGTTGCCCTTTGTGTGATATTCTTTCTAATTCTAGTCAGTTACTAGAGTTGTGGACAAAAGCTCTCCATGCACATTCCATTGAAAATGACCTATTTCTAAATAAATACTGTCAAATTACAGGCTCTACTTTGTTCTACTTGTATAGATATGATGCCTTGAGGTTCTACAGGCCATTTATTAACTACCTTCGACGAGTGACTTTGTTTTTAAGTAATGAGAAACTTTATCATCACTTTTGATATCAATGGGAAAGATAATTGATGCGTGAAAGATAATATGTTTTAGATCGACGAGGTTTGATTTTTCGTATCTATTTGGTTGTTGAGGTTTCAAAATGGATGTATGGTTTTAAAATTAATCTTATGTTTCTCTAGAGGTTTCAAATTGTCCACAGCCATTGGAAGGCAGAGGATTGAGAAGAGAAATGGTAAGAAAAGAGCTGAGAAAACTTAGATGAAGTTGCTCGAAGATAGAGGGGCGCTCTCATGTCACACTGTACATTTGTGTTAAAACTTTTAAAGTATGTCCAAAGTATTATTTATTTAAAAGTACTGGAACAAAAATAAATAATTTTTTTTTTTGAGAAATTAAAAAGAAACTAATAAATAAATATTTTGAGAGTATGTACGAACCAAATATATCTTATACGGGGGTGGGGACTCACCATGGAGATATATTTCAATTATTAATGTCAAAGCTAAAAAGTATCCGGAAAAAATAAATAATATTTTTAAAACCAAAAATGAAAAATGGTCGTTATATACTCCATACCCAAATCTCCCTCCGTCGTTCTGTGCCCGCTCCCGCCACTCATCAACAGCGCCGCCGTGTCGGAAGAAGACATGGCAAGCAAAAACCCTAGACCAGAAGCAGGAGATGGAACCGAGGCCCCAAAGATAGTCTGGAATGAAGGCCAACGGAGGTTTGAAACGGAGGACAAGAAGGCCTACCTTCAGTACGTAATAAAAAACGAAGGTAAAGTCATTGATATGATTCACACCTTCGTTCCTTCCTCCAAAAGAGGATTAGGATTGGCTTCTCATCTCTGCGTCGCCGCCTTCAATCACGCTAACGCGCATTCGTTGTCCATCATCCCCTCCTGTTCTTACATTTCTGTGAGTTCTCTTTTCTACAATTTCTAGGGTTTGTTGTTCGTAGTTTTAATTCATTATTACGTTTGTGTAGGGCTTGTTACTAACGCATCTTGAAATTTAGTACCACCGTTTATTTTTGCGATTATTTATGCTACGAAAGAACATCATCAGGTTGGATTCTTTTTCCAGAATAGTTCTTCCTACATTTGTAGCAGCTGTTTGGGAATTAAATTTAATAACTGAATTTTCTTCTTCCTTCCTATACGGTAGCTTCCACACTCGATCACAATCCACATCTTTATAAAATAGTTCTTAAAAAACTGCAATCAAGAAAGTAAATCCCAGTAGCAGTTGGAAGTCCACCCCCTCCCCACCACCCCCACAGTCCTAGCAAAAAATGAGATACAATTAGAGAATGTAAAATTTAAAGTCAATTCGTTGTGTAGCACCTAAAATAGAAGTCATGAACAGCTAAAGAATTATAAAATTCAACCCATTTTCCTTTGTCTGCTAGCCTTCTGTATTAGTTTTACTTCAATAATTTACCTAAATGTATAGCACGCATTATGGGAGACTGCATTCATGCTATATGCCCCAAGTGAAGAAATGACAGGTGAAGGAGAGGAAAGGTAAAATGAGAAAAGTTTTTGTGGAGAATGGATGGAAAGTGGAAGTGCAAATCAAGTGGGTATAGAAAAGATATGCTAGAGAAGACACTCGAGGAATCCATCATCCAAACTTGATGATCCTCAACTCTAATAAACACAACAAGAGAGGAGTGAAAATCACCTTTCTCCTATCATTCACAGCGCTTCTGAAATGAAGATCAAAAAGAAAGATATTCCTTATAAGAAACCAATCAATTAGCAATAGGAGCATTTTTGGAGCTTTTATATAATTAGACAAATTCTGAAGACAAGGAGAAGAAGAGCAGAGTGGACTGTATTCAAGCCCGTGGTCTTCCCAATACCAAACCCAACTACCATCCCCGACTCCAGGGAAAATAAAACACAAGAACTAGGGTAAACGACCAAGAATTTTTAGAGTCTCAGTCCACTGAAATGTCGACCATACTTGCTATTTTGTGTGCTGCAAAAAATCTGTTCTTCTGGAAAAAGCCATAACCAATTAGACAAAAGGGCAAAGTTCTTACTAGTAAGATTCTCTATTCCAAGACCCCCCTCCTCATACTTTACTAGATGAGAAACCCCACCTTCCTGCATCACTTCCCAAAGAAAATCCAGTTCGTGAGTTTTTCAGGTACAAAGTCTTCTATCTTATGAACATGAGGTGGCTGGATGGTCCCTTTAAATCTGTAAGTATGTTAATGAGTAAAGGATGTACATGGTATCTTCAGAGACATCCAATAAAATTGGAACGATAGAGAAACAAGGATGACACACACAAATTGAGAAAAATACTTACATGGTTGTGTGGTTAGACATTCAAGGACAAGACAATAGTTCTTTGGGTTAACTTTGACGGCTTCCTATGGGAGAATATGGATTGAAAGAAATATGAGAACTCTTATCTGGGCTTCTATGAGTATTCAGGTTATGTAGAGCTTTGTTCCTATTCTAGGATCTTGATGGTATACTCCTGCTGAAGAATTTTGACATTGTTCTTCACTTTTGATTCAAACAAACCAGAGAGCTTTCTTATTATCTTCTTCCTTGTATCTTCTTTTGTAATTATTTTTCTTTGTTGTGTGTAAGAGAGACGAGAGGGACATATGCTGATATGTAAAACTCTGTAATCATCTCTTATTTCATATGTTATTCTATATTTGGAACCTATTTTTCCAGTTATGCTTCACGTCCAGCATGACATTTTTAATTAAGTAAAAACTTTTTTTTTTTTTTGTCTTTCAGGACACCTTTCTCCCGAGGAACCCATCTTGGAATTATCTTTTGTACTCTGGAGATAAGAAATCAAACATGTAAGCAACTTCTTATGTTAATAAATGTGTCCATATCATCAATCCTAAGTCGTGGATATTCCTATTTCCTTGGTGTTTAATGTAAAATCCCACAGCTTATATTACTAATATATTTGAGAATATACTATGAAGTATGAATACATTACGTGGAGTCTAAATATTAAAATTGGCTTCATGGTGAAATGCCGTTCTCTGTGTAGCCCATCAAAACAAGTATACACATGAAAAGTATGGAGTTTTATTTTCTAATATTTGTAATAAATTCATTAACAAACGAAGGATGCAGTATTATAATACATTCTTTTTTAATCTAAAATGAAAATACCTTTTATAAATACCTATGTACTCCAAAAAATGAAATTATTGGACCAGTATTTACTTTAGGAATTAATTTCTATGTATTACTTAGTTGTATGGTCAGGTGGCTGTCTCGTGAAATTAGTAAAATGTACTTAAATTGGTTCAAACAGTCATAGATATAAAAAAAATTGAAATTTTCGTCAAATAGTTGCTAAACAAGTTAAATACCACAAACAAAATAACTTCAACACTATTAAAAAAAACTGTTCCTTCCACTTCAACAATATTAAAAGAAAAAAAACTGTACGTTCAACGTGGAGATAGAGAATGAAAACACAAGCTATTCTAGATATAATATTCTAAAATATAGGTATGGAAGGTAAAAAGTAATAATTATAATTAATATATGAATTTATTAACTAATTTCACTTCACCATGTGGGTCAAGGTATGTACTGGGCCGTGTACTAAAAAATAGGTATGTACTGGGCCGTTAGCCCAATACCTAGTCCACTCTAAGTCCAACCAGGCAAAGCCCACGAAGATCCCTCAAGAAGACGATGACGACCTGAAATCCTCAGAGACCCCGAGCTCGGTTGCAGAATGGACATGGCGACCAAATTTCTACGAACTTTAACGAATGCCTCCAATAACAAAACCTTAATTAACGTTTGCCTCGTCGTTTCGTTTGGGGCACTGAGCGCCAGGTCGATCAAGCAGCAGAGGGAAATTGAAGCTCTGGAGGCCGAGAAAGATTCCCTCCTCAATTCCAATAAAGCACTGAAGAAATCCATGTGGGATTGGAAGCAACAGTTGTTCGCTGAAGCTTCCTCCGAGTCCGCTTTGGTCCCTCTAGCCAGGATCAAAGCTATCTATGGCGAAGTTCCGATATCATCCCCTACTGGTAATTTACGCTTTCCTTTAACTTTCTGCTCTTAGAAATGCTGGTTAATGTTTAAAGGAAATGGTATAGAGCTTCATCAATGTAGACTCGTGTTAGAATTTGAGTGTCGTGATTGCAATGTAAGCATTTCAAGTTCCCAACTCGTATTAGGGGAATTATTTGGTTTTCGTAATACTTCATGCTGGGAGATCCTTTTAGTCGATCAGCATTGGCCTCATGGTTCTCATGCTCTAATTCTGAAGTTGAATGTTGCTATAATTAAATTAATTACCATGCTCTTGGTTATCAATAATTCTAATTCTATGAGAACTGCGGGCACAACTCAGGATGCAGAGAAAATAATAGATTGTGAATCTAAAGAAAATGGTTATCATCGCCATTTGTATGTTGAGAAATGAATGTTCCACCATTGGATGCTGAACTTGATGACTTAATTTATGCTGAAACTTATGCAAAGGTTTGTCATTATGGGAGAAGAATTTGAGGAGAGTACATGGTGCATAAAGTTTTACAGGGAAATATTGTCATTGAGTTTGATTTTATATGAGAAGGAGACACTTGAAAAGTTTAGAAGCAAAAAGAAGTAATTTCTCCTTTTGGGAGTTTAAAAAAGGCGATCCAATTGAAGTTAAATTAACAAAGGCAGAATAGTCACAAAAAGAGTTGGAAGGGGAACATCAAAAAGAACATTGAACACTTTCCAAACCATAGACTTCTTCCCAGTATCTAACCCTATCGTTAGAAATCTGTTAATTTCTTTCAAGCTATAGCCCCTACTCCTAGTCCCTAATTGCATTCTTCCATAAGATCTTTGTCTTTCCTCTGAAGTTGCTTCCGCTCGGAAGCTGCATCAAACTATCCTTAGTCAAGGAATCGAAAATCGAGAGAAAGTTGATATAGAGGAAAAAATATTCACATAACTTTCTGCTCATGGAGAAGAAAAACTAGGAAATGGCATTGTATTTCCTTTTGTTTCCTACATAAAGAGCACCAACTTTGTTGTAAGATCATGAATGGACATCTTTGTAGTGCCTCCATCGTGTTCATCCCCTCAAAACACCAACCAGCTGGAACACCTAACTTGTTTTGGTCCTTTACCTTTCCAATCAAGAGAGATAAGTTTCTAAGTATCAAGGAAATCGTAATCGAATTGTGATTACCAATTGAAATGGATTACATTTTCCAACCTTGCGACAACAAAAATTACCCTGTGGATGATGACTCTAGTGTGTATTTCACAATTTGTGGGGAGTTATATATATCTTGCTCTAGAATTGGTGTCTGTGTTAACATGACAGTCAAATATATGTGCTTTTTGTACGAAATGGGTCATGAGCCCACGTAGACTGGAGGATAAAAACAGCATGAGTGAATTTTTAAGAAAAATTTCAAATGCATGGTTGATGCAGAGTTTTGATCTTATAACTCAGGATTAAACTTTAGTTCCTTTTCGCTTGTTGAATTCTTGCAGACCAATATATTAAATGATTACCTATTATAACCTGTCATGAATCAAGTACAATCTGTGTTTTTATGTATCAAGTTGGATATGTACAAGAGAGATCTGCTTTTTCAGGTTGAAAAGAAAAACCTAGAGATAATCTGAGAAGGTGATCATTAGCATTATTGTTGGCATGGTTGGGAGTGATTTTTGCAAGTGGGATATGTTAAGGCATGTTTAGAAGTGATTTTAGCGAGTCCAAAATTTCGTCAAAACTGCTTCCATCCAAAATAGCAATGCAATAATATAGAAAGTGATTTTAGAGAATGGAAAAGGTGATTCTGGCATTCCCGATATAAGCTGGGTTTTACAGATTTATCCACTGATCCAATCTTAATGGCCCATGCAGGAGCAGGACATGCGGCAACAGAAGATGAAAATTCACAAGGCTCCAAATTTGTGGTTTGATGTTTGGTTACTTACTCTCAGTTTCTGTAGTTTTGTTTGCTTTGATCAGGAAATGGCTGATGAAATCAAAAACTCTATTGAAAATACATGTTGCTCCAGGCCCAGAAAAGTAGTGAAGAGTACCAGGAATTAGATTTTCTTTTTCATTTTCCATTTTCCCATACAATTTAATACTCCAATTCTTATTCTTCTTCTATTAGTACAACAAATTAAGAGGGTGGAAGGGTGCAGTATGAACCTCCGACCCCAAGGAAAATAGTATATGCTATTCACCGTTTAGTTATTTGATATTGTCAGTTAGTACACTAATTCTAAAATATTATCAAATTGAAAAAAATACTTTACACATAAAATAAATGAAGAGAACTTTGAAGAATATTTGCTACGAATGTGATAACATGTAACAATCTGCGTAGTTATTGTGATGAATTCTTTAGGAAAAGCATAAATTTTCCATTACTATGGATGCCTTTCTTCTTTTTTTTCCTTCTTTCTTTAGGGCGTGGCTAATAGCTATAAACCGACAGCACAATTTAAAGCATAAATTTTCCATTACAATTTACGAATTTGTAATGAGAGGCCACAGTAAGTTCCAAATTGTAATTTCTGGCGAAAATATTATTTTTTCTAAAGAAATAGAAATTGCATTTAATTTTATTAATGAGGCGTGTGTACGTGTTGCAATTGCAAAAGGGTAATCAGAAAAACGTGCCATTTTCAGGAATCTTCCGGAAAAGAACTGCTGAAATTTCGAAAACAGACAAATTCTATCAGATGATGATTTTTCAAACAGTTGTTGAGGCGACACCCGAATCGGGAAGTTGAAGCACCGACATTGTTGCTGTAACTGTAACTGTAAATAATTTGTACTGTGACCTTCAAAATAGGCTGAATTATACACAAACCCCTGGATCCATGTTTCACTTTTGTCCCCCAACTTTCAGAAAATTTCAATTCGACCATCAAATCCTTTATTTGGTTCTTAACAACCCTTAGTCAGCAACTTCCGTTAAAATGCCTTGGTTTTTTTAGATCAAGTAGCTATAAAGTTGGAGAATATAAAATAAAGAAAAGCAAAATAAATGAAGTTTTCTTTTTATTTTTTTATTCCCTCCCATCATTTTTAAGTCTCATAAATTTGATCCTCGATCTAGAGTTTTCTCAGGTTAAAGCTTCTTGTACAACTTATTTGACTTCAATTTTACTCCCAACCTATGTTTTTGGCTTGAATCTTACCTACATTTTATAAATTCTTATTATAAAAAGGCTTTCCAAACAAATAAAAGAGTTGAATGCAGATAAAAAAGAAAGAAAAAAAATGTTTTGAGATAAATTTTAAAGTATTAATCACAACAATATTGAAACCAACTACGCCAACTGATCGAATCGAAGTCGATTGGTCCTCCATGTATATATATATGTATGTATATATATAATAAATATATTTTAAAATTTTAAAATCTTTTCATTTGTAGGATGTTTAGAGAAAGGGATTAATGCAGTGAAAATGACTGGTGTGGGTATTACAGCACATTAAAATCCAAAGACATAATTAGAAATGAATGAAAGGTTTGAAAAATGAAAAGAGTGGGCGGAATGGGTTGTTTGGAGTTGCATTTTTGCCAAACGCTTTTATGGATGGTGCTATCTTAACAGCACATCACATGAAAGAAAAATCCTATTTTGCATCCTTAAGAAATTGACCAATCAATTTTGCCCACTCCTCTCCCTCCCCACGTGCCCCCACTCGCTCGCTCGAGAAAATTATTCAATATATTTTTTAGTTATATTGGTCCAGGATTGAAGCTTCGACTTTAGAATAAATAATATTTATCTTATCCACCTGAAGAGACATATATATCTTAACTATAGAGTAAAAAAAATTATTCAATGTAGTTTTGTTAATGTGATGATGTAGCTATTATTACCACACAACATTTATATATATATATATATAGTATGAATGTCTAATCTAGAGATCTAGATTCAAATTTAAAATATATAAAGGTTTGCTTAAAAATGACTTTGCTTATGATTTTTTGCTTCGAAAAATTGCTTATTTATTCGTAGTTTTACTTTTATATTATAATCTTCTTTCAAAAACATTTTAATACCAACTAATAGTTATTATAATAGAAAAATGAAAACCAAATTGTTGTAAAGTAAAATAATTAATTGGATAAAATGTTTGTTTCATACATTATGGGTCACAGATGATTGACAAATAAATGTAGATATTTAAATATAAATTATTGACCAAACTAGATGTTAAAAAAATCTCCACTCTACTCCTACTTTTATTAATTAAAAGAATTGAGAAAAAGAAAAACTTATGAGTTTCAAAATTAATTTAAAAAAATAAGACCTTAAAAAGTGGACAGAAGAAAACAAGGCTAAGCGTCGTAAAGTCCAGTTGGCAAATTGATGCAAAATCCAATTACTTCCTTTATCAGTGTAGTCCTCATTCTTATCTTAGCAAATGCCATCCTCCCACATGCTTCAATTTTACTCGGTTTAATTTTTATTTATGTGACAGTTACTAAATTTTCATCGATATGTCGGACATTTTTACGTGTCTATGGATTCGATATTGAAATGAGAAGTAAATCGACATTTACATAAGATTGTCAAATAAATTGACAAAATATGAAAAATATCGACAAAGTATCACTAAATATAAACATAATATTAATTTTGGTTTTAAATTCATTTAAAAGGGTGAAATGCTTGTTTATTAATTTAAATATTTCTTACCAATGTTTTATTTTTAAAATCTTTTTATAAATATTCATTAACACTAGCATTTTGTTATATTTCGTAATTGAGACATCGGCATTTCTATGACCATCAACCTCTAAAATCTCGTTTATATGGGTGGAGTTATCATAATGATCTCCTTTCTAAGTCTTGGCATATCTATTTAGTTATTGTATTTTAAGAAATTTATAATAGATTTTTAAACTTTAAGAAATTGTATCTATTATGCTCACTTTTAGTTTTATGTCTCATGAATATTTGTAATAACTTCATTAGTTTAACGCTACCAATGCTTTAACCTTTGCAAATTCAACTTGATGGGTAATCTTGAAATAACTCATTCAACAAGCTAAGCCACAAAAACATTACATTGACACTATACTCACGGTAGACTATTAAATACAAAGTTGAAAGTTTGTAAATATAAGTGTTAGAAATTTTTTTAAAAGAACGGGACTAACAATGATTAAGCGCAAAAAAAAAAAAAGTAAAAACACACAGTGATAGTGGAAACTTTCAATTCTTCAAGAGACATACATATTTATAATGGTTTGATCCAATTTGTGATAACTTTTTCATGTCATCCACTAAATTGAAATATAAGAATATGACAATACCGGAGAGACTGAAGTAAACTATATCAACAACAATCAATGCACCTAAGTTCTCATCACTCATACAAAGAATTTTAGTTGTTAAAGAAATAGAAACTCCAAAATTACCGAACTCTCTCCCACTCTTAGAAGGTGATAAAAATCAAGATGAAGAAAACCTTCACTCTATTATTGAACGCTCGCCCCTTTCTCTATGTCACTTTCTCTTTCTCGTAACAAACTTTCACAGAGGTGGCTAAATCGTATGTACACTTGTTGTTTTCCAAGGTTAACACAACTTCGAACTCAACGTGCACTCGTCGGAATCGAATGGAATCGAAAAACACGTTCAGAAATTTTATCAAAAGCTCATAATCTTCCCCGTGCATAAGGAAACTCGTTTTAGTTTAAAAATGAAAAAGAAAGAAAAAAATTTTAACTTATTAAAACATTACAAAACAAAATTAATTAATTTAATTAATTCGTTAACATTCAAATAATAAAACGATAAAAGAGATATTTAATGTTACCTTTTATCAATACTGTCATTTTCCTTAACAGATATATTAAAAAAAAAAAGAAAAAAAAAAGCACCAAAATGAGGTTTCTTTGAACGGAACAAGAAGTTGTCGAGAAGATTTAAAGTAAAAGAAAACGTAATTCATTAGCTGTAGCCTGTAGGGCGCTGCGCTAGGTGAGTTGCATTATTAAGACTTTGGCCTCCGCCCGTAGGCCTCTCCTACCGGCCAATGGCCCCACGACACGTGCTCTACTTGCACCAATTTCCCAATATTTATTTAATTTCATTAAAATGGTAGCTTCATTTCTAATATGCTTCCAAAATTATATGATTTTATCAGCTCAAATAATTAGTCGACATAATTTTATCTTATTTTTGCATTTGAGATGTCTCTATTAGATGTTATTTTGTTTGGAGGTTAAATACTTTGTTTTTTTTTAATGAGATAAATTTGATTTGTTAATTTAGAAGTTGTTTCCTTAATCATAGATAAATCATATTATATGTCCTACTTAATCATTATTTTGGCATGTTATATTTATATACTATATAAAAGAGAAATGTGATATTTTAAAGTAGGATGCTTTTATGTAGCGACATATATATCCTACCTAGATAAGATATCTATTATCATTTTAAAAGTTGATAGTTCGATCCTCTACCTCATAATTGTTGAACTAACAAAAAAAAAAATTTTGATAGTTACAATTTTCTTTTTTTAAATTCAACACGTGGGGTAGAGATTAACCTCCAACTCCTTCTTTTCTTTTGAAGTCAAGGTTTTTATGCGTTTTTTTTTTATACTATATTGCAAATAAGAGAATCTTGATTTTTTAGTATGACATATGAGGTAGAGATTCGAACTCGCAACCTCTTAGTCGAATATAGGTGCCTTTATGTTCAGGTTGGCTAAGAGGGTCTTTACTCAAACATATAATTCACGGAGAGATGTATAAACATATCAACTTTCTATTTTAGTCAACTTGAGTATAGTTCAACTAGTAAAAACGTATATTTTTTCCAAAATATTGTGAGTTCGAATTCTCACCTTAACATATTATACTAAAAAAAACTTTATATTTTAGAGTATTGCAAACGTGTAGAGTGGTGGAATTCGAACTTTCAACTTACAATAAGAACACGTCTCCAATATTGTATTTGCAATTCTTTGAAGAAAATATCAATTGCCATAATTTTGTCGAACATGGACATAGCTAATAGTTCAACTAGTTAACCCCAACCCTATACATTATTGTAGACAAAAAGCATCAATAATTTTATTTAAGATCAATGAATGCAATTTATTCTAAAATTAACTCCATCCAATATAAGTTTAAACTTGAGACTAACGCAGCATTTAATAATTAAAATAAATCCACTCCATCGAGAATAAATTAGTTACCGAAAAGACAAATAATAGTCTTGTTTTGCCAACAATGTCTCATTAATCGCTGTTAGCATCAAACCAAACTCTACATTGGACGGTTCCAAAAAAACTACTAAACGCTTCCTTTAATTATGTTAAAAAGAACAACGCTTCCATACTTTATGATTTTTTTTGTTTTATTATTAAATTATTGTCACTATTATTACTTTAGAAATAAAAATCAAAAATCAAAAATAAAAGTGTGCGATTCTTATAAAAATGAAATAAATAATAAAAAAAATGTTAGCAGCTTGGTTTAGATTTTATGTACATTCATCTTAGTTTATGAAATTCTAAAATGTTTCAACCTCTAAACTTTAGAAAACAATCTCTTTTTCTGTTGCATCATTATTTTGTTATTATTATTTCTTAAAAATATTTTGTTATTAGTTATTTACTGAATACTTATTAACATTGAAGCGAATATTTGTAAAATAATAAAACTAAAATTTAGGGATAAATTAACCTTTTTCTTACTAAAACTTAAATTTTTAAAAATTAATCTTTTTTTACTTGTCCGAAAGTGCGAGGATTTAAACACAACCTTCGAAGGAGTAGATGCAGTGTTTTAAATCTTTCAACAATTTTTTTTGTTTTTTTTTGAAATATAAGCCAGAAGTGAAATTTATAAATTTTAAACAAATGACATCTTGCTTAAAAAAAAAACAAAAAAGAAAAAAATTACATTCCAAAATTATTATTAAGGAGGAAACGATAGGGTGCAGCCGTTACCAAGTGGACAATTAATAAATTTGTCAGATGCCGCCGTTACCAGTGCCACCCCTCCCGTACCGTAACGAAAAAGAAAAGAACCATCGGACGGTAGAAAGACGGGTCAATATTCGCTGATCAACCTAAAATAATAAATCAACGGATGAGATTTTGTGGCGTCCCGTTGATGCTTTGACTCCCTTAAGTTACTGACACGTGGAAGTGGGACCCACGAGCCCCAGGCCTTTTGGGGGGAGGCGTGGCCTGTGTTGGGCACTTTACCATTTGCAAAGGTAAAATATAAGCGAAGCACAATCGCCACGCCATGGCCTTCTTCTGAGCACAGAAAGAGAGAGCGACCGAACGAATGAACGAACGAACGAGAGCCATAGCCGTGAAAAGTGAAGCGTTCATGATTTGAATGATAGAGAGAGAGAGAGAGGTAGAGAAGTTCAATCGAGAGTCTAGAGAGAGAAGTAGAATCTTCGGCGGATGCATGCCTATCGCGTTTTTGGGCGCAAATTCATCCGTTTCATATACTCTAACTTCTTAGCTGCCAAACTTGTTTTTCAGGTCCGAACTACGCTGAATTAGGCGTTTCGGATTCGGAATTCGGGTGGGTTTGGTTTCAATTTTGGTGAGATTGGGATTTTGGCGAGGCTCATTCGGTGATCTGGGTCTGTGAGGGCGAGAGACATGGAGGAGGCTTGGTTGTGTCAGTGGAGCACGATTAGATCTCTCGTCGCTATTCTTCAATGGTGGGGTTTCAATGTTACCGTCATTATCATGAACAAGTGGATCTTTCAGGTCTTGTTTCCCGACTCCCTACTTTCCTCAATTTCGCCATTTATCATTTCTAGACTTGTTATTTCTCGATTGTTTTGCTTAATTTCCATCACCGCCCTGTAGCTTGTGTTGAATTTGTTTGTTTATTCGTTACATGTTCTCATTGATTGTGAATTGATCTGTTTGTTTCGTTTTTCTTCTCTCCAGAAATTGGATTTTAAATTTCCTCTTACGGTTTCCTGTATTCACTTCATCTGCTCTGCCATTGGGGCATATATGGTGATTAAAGTGTTGAAGCTTAAACCGTTAATATCTGTTGACCCTGAAGATCGGTGGAGAAGGATATTCCCCATGTCGTTTGTGTTCTGTATTAACATAGTTTTGGGGAATGTAAGTTTGCGTTATATTCCGGTTTCCTTTATGCAGACGATAAAGTCGTTCACTCCTGCGACCACAGGTGCGGTTTAAAATTTAAATTGCTTACTGATTATCTATTGTTTGTCGTCGCTTTTTTTCTTTCTTTTTTTTTTTGTTCTTATTACTTTGTTATTTTAAAATTTTTAATTTTATATTTGTGCGGTTACCTTGTCTTATGTCAATTGGTTGTAACAGTTGTTTTACAGTGGCTTGTGTGGAGAAAGTACTTTGACTGGAGAATATGGACATCTTTGATCCCCATTGTTGGAGGAATTCTTCTTACATCTGTTACTGAGATGAGCTTTAACATGCTTGGGTTTTGTGCTGCCTTATTTGGTTGTTTGGCCACCTCCACAAAGACCATCCTTGCGGAGTCCTTGTTGCATGGATACAAGTTCGACAGGTAGTGCCTTTATGCGCCTGCTCATTCTTTTGGATTCAATATTTGTTTTAAAACCAAATTTCATATTGAATTCTTGGTTCTTGCTTTCTTTTTCTGGGTTAGATTGTTGGACTATTGAATGCTATTGCTTGAAAGCCCCAATTTAGTGATAATCTTATAGTAGAAATGTTGGATGTGTTCTGTATCATTTATGGAATTTGTAGGATCCCAATTCCCATTATTAATATATACAGAGAAACCTGTTCGCTGTTCCCTTCCAGACCATGTAGTTACTGTGTCTTCCTATAGACATAATTAAATATAAATTGAAAACCGGGAAGGGCATCCCAGAAAATATGTTCTCATGAAGCAGTCGCTAGTTTTGGATGAATTAGAGAAAAGCTTAGAAGTGTTCTCTAGCGAGGTGAAATTCATTTATTGACTTCCTTCATCAGTCTTCACCACTTGCTTACAACTAGCTGCATTTTTTTCTCTGTGTTTTTGTCTATCTTTGGGTCTGTGAACAAAAAATTACCACCTCTGAAGATCAACTATGCTATTACTAGTATGTTTTATTTTTGTTCCAGACTGTTTTATTCTCCCATTAGCAATTCGACCATTTCCATTTTCTGTTGATTCCTGCCAATGTTATCAATATACTGTGCTGTCAGCTCTCTTTCTCGTCTTTTGCGTGAAAATGAAGAAATAATGACATTCAATTAATAACGAATGATGTTCTTGGAGGTGAATTCTAATTATGGGAAGCACGAGTACTTTGCAGTTGACATCTGATTTCTGACATTCATCAGTCACTCAAATTATAATATAATTTATTACAATTCTTTCTTCTTAGTTGCATACATTGTGGCACTCGGGCACATTTTGCCCTCCTTCATTACAAAAGAAAGACAACTAGACGAGTAATGAATATTGGAAATATGAATTATGGAATTAGTTAGAGTCCTTTTAAAATTAACCTTCCTTTCTTTCTTAGTTACTTTTCTTTCCTCCTCCCCATCTGGTGTCATTTTACGTTGATTCTCTACCTTTTAGACTACCAGTGATGTTGTACTAATGGTTTTATGTTTTTTTGTTGTTTTATCTACCTTGCTAATAATGTTTGAACTTTGGTATTTGTTTTTCTGTTGGACACACCAGCATAAATACAGTGTATTACATGGCACCTTTTGCGACCATGATCTTGGCAGTGCCTGCAATGCTCCTTGAAGGTAATGGGGTTTTTGATTGGCTTCATACACACCAGTCTATATGCTCGTCCCTCATCATCATTTTCAGCTCTGGGGTGATGGCTTTCTGTCTTAACTTCTCCATATTTTATGTGATTCATTCCACAACTGCTGTGACGTTCAATGTTGCTGGAAACCTTAAGGTAAGATCAAGTTGTTCCGACATCTGCATCCATCATCCTTGTCAACAATACTTGACTAGGACACTTGTTTTTACTTTTTCAGAATCAACGCTCGTATTTTCTGCACGATACAATTACCATTGTTTATAGTCTTATAAACCATTATATTTCCTTTATGTTTTCTATTTTCCCTGTATAAATTTATTTTTTCTTTATACTCTGATGAGTCACATTTGAACTTTCATTTTTCCCAGGTAGCTGTTGCCGTGCTTGTTTCGTGGTTGATATTTCGAAACCCCATTTCAATGCTAAATGCAGTTGGATGTGGAATTACACTTTTGGGTTGTACATTCTATGGCTATGTCAGACATCTTATCTCACAGCAGCCACCGGGAACCCCTCGAACACCTAGAACACCTCGTACCCCTCGGAGTCGGATGGAGCTGCTCCCCCTTGTAAATGACAAATTAGATGATAAAGTCTAATCACTTACAGCATCGTTGAGGTTCTTGGTAATTGGCACACCGGTAGTAGAAAAAGGAGTACAAAAGAATACAAGAGCAGAATACTGGGGGCTTGTTCGTTCTGTCCACTTGCTTTAGGCAGCTTCAATTTTCTCTTCTTTTTCTCTCTTCCATAATGTTATCTTTTATCTCCGCGCCACATATTTTGTTATTGTAGCTTTTAGCATATCATGAGCGACTGATATTATTATTATTATTAGAGTTCAAATTATTTTTGTTCTTAATCTCGCTTTCCATTCAAATTCTAAAACCAAAATAGAAAATGATTTCCAGGTTTGTGATGCGTCTTAAATTGCATCTGAATTTTCCTCTCTTTTGCTTGGGAAACATCTCTAGATGAAATTTTAAATCCTATGAGACTGGAAGATCTGAAATTCCGATTATCGAAATGCCTATGGAAGGCATTCATTCAACTTTGATGAAGAGTTCTACAATATAAAAGGCATCTAGCTTATCTAGCTTTTAGTTACAAAGTTAAGATTTTAGAGCTAACATGATGGATGATGATAGGTTAAACATGAAATTTTGCATCAGTGGGTTTTTGGTCTGTAAAAACTAGAACAGGAGAACTACTAGGCAAGAAGCCAGAAGTTCTTCTGCCACCTGGTGTTGATAAGGTAACCGCCCATGCCATTGGTCTGTTTTCTAACCCCAATTGTACAGCAATCTGCATGGCTGATGCACTGCTCCACAAACTGGTCTGAGCTGCTGGACCCACGGAAGCTGCAAAGGGAAATGACCATGTCGACCAGGTTAGTAATCATGACCATTCAAACTATTTTTTATGAAAAAGCCAATATAATATGATGATAGAGAGAGGTTGGGACCCACCAGCCAAATAGAGAAGGCTTTTTCCTCTGGGGCACCACCAAAACAGATGCCTCAAGCTTCTTCACTTGGCTCAAAACTGTCTCTAGTTTTGGGCCTTGAATCACCAGTGCTTCAACTTCCACCTGAAATTTTGTACCCAAAAATAAAATCACCCACACTGCACTGATGTAACTCTAAAAAGATGGTTCCACTACACTTTTTCCCCTTTCTTATAGTCATACAAGACGATGGCCCTCGAATCTGGATGATGGGTGAGCACTAGGAAAGGACTAGCTACAGCTTAGTGCAGCTCGAGATTCTCTCTCCTTACTATGCTTTTGCCTTTTTCCCTTCTTTTATTTATTATTGACACATGCATGGGAGGGAAAACCAAGAGGTTAAAGATAACCCAATACAAAAGTGTTCCCCATGACCCATATCCCATCACTTGCATTTTTTAAGAGAGAATTAGAAATTGAACTTGGATACACTATAATCAAGGCGTAAACCTTTTCATTGAATAAAATGTTTCCAGAACTAACTTCTAGGAATAATTCAGTAGCTCTCTACTCCACTCAAAATTTCCCCCATACATATTCTTGCGTCTGTATGATTTTTTGTCTATTCACAAATGGGAATCACATGCATTTAACTTTCCTGGGAAAAACTGAGTTGCAGGATGATACAACAGAGAAAACTCTCAAGAAAAGCTTAAGAAGTTGAACCAAAGAGGAGTAGTAGAGACAGAAGATCCCGAAAGAAAATGAAAACTGAAACGGCTAAACAGAGGATCAACACAGAAGGTAATATACCTCAGGTCTAGAAGCTTTGCAGAGGTAGCCAAGAGAGTTAACAAGATAAGGAGAAGAATGAGAAGGCGTCTCAGAGAACTTGTTTGAGTGAGAAACAACGTGAAGAAGAGTGAACAAATCACCCTTATTGGCCACATGTGTTAGTGCCCACATCACAGCATGCTTGGACTCCACCGCCTGATCCACCACCACCATCACCCTCTTCTTACCGTACCTCTCAAACCCCTCCATTGATACTCAGTACAAAGCTTTGATTTTGGTCTTCAACCCCTCTTTCACTTGGTTTGCCTACAAAAATGTATCTCCCACAGCTCTATGTTGGCGTTATCTGCAACCCCTTTTGGCTAGGAAGATGGTGGTTAATGTTATATAGAAACTTGAGATTTCATTTCACTGTTAGAAAGAAGAGAGAGAGAAGGGTTATGAGTTATGGGACAGAGTGATAAATAGAGAGCCATGATTTACAACTTTTTGAGTCACGGGAATCACTGGGCTGATGGTGGCTTTACAGTCGACTTATAACATTGATGCAAATAAAAACAGTACCGCTGCTGTCCATTTTGATGATGATAGGGAAGACTCTGCTGTGTGTGTACTATCGCTTGCATCTTTTTCAGAAGCTATTTTTATGCATTTCAAAGACCAATTATTACGAAGATAGTTCAGGAAATAAAATAAAACAAGGCTTTTTTTTGGGTATCGAAATGCCCTATTCTCGTTGAAAGTAACGGCTCTTGTCCCGTCACGAGTGGGCTCTTTGTTGACCCTTTTTTAAGGGCAGTTCTAGTCCCAACTTTGATTTTCTTTTTCATTTTTTAAATAATCTTTTGGTGTGTTTCGTGAGTATTTGGAATACGTTTTCCCGCGGGAAGTCGGTGGGGAACCCCTGATTAAATTTTCCACAGGACATGACCACCTAAATGGAGATGATGAGGGGAATATGTTCCCCGGTTCCCTGCTCTGCGTCATTTTTTTTAATATCTATATATACGCACACTAAAATAATAATATTATTCTCTTTATATATATACATATATTGAAAAAAATCATGTATTCTCCTCTATCCACACATTTAATATATATATTTGAGAGAATTAGACTTTAGAACTAAGCAATTAAATAAAAAATTCTTTAACAAAAGAATATTTATTGACAAATAATTTGAAAAATTAAAAAATAAATGGGAAACTTTTCACCGTGGAGAATACCCACCCCGATCCCCGCAAAATTTCTTCGTGGGGAAGACTTCCCGGTCACCGTCCCGCCCCATGAACATGCCTAGTTGATAGTAGTTTTAGAAATCAAATCCCAATTTAAAAAATTGTTGTATGTTTATTAATATACTTGTATACTAGTGGGAATTAGTAACTAAATATTTTAAAAATAAAACTGTCAAATCCAACTGAAAACTAGAAATTGGATTGTATAGTCTCTATTTTAACTTTCTTTTTTTTCTGTTTGCAATTTGCACTTTATTTTCGAATATATTTCTAAACTTTTAGAAACTTTAAAAAAACAAAGAAATTAGTAGTTTTTAGAACTTCGAATGATATTTTATCTTAGACTTCAAAAATACGTTTTTGGTTATTGAGCAAGTTGAGCCAACAAACATATTTATAGTATAAATAAAAAGGATATGTTACTGACTTAGTACTACGATTTTTGTCTTTGTGTTACAATCTTTTCGTACTCCCTTCTCTTTATCATGCCATAGTTTAGAGAAACGTATTGAAAAGATTCATTCTGTCATTTATATGAATTAGTAAGAATTCAATGGGACCTATCTTCTCTTCTTTCTTTCTTTTTTTTTTTCTATTTGAGGGGATCATATTGAGTTCTCACGCTTATTTTAAAGATTTTAATTTAACATGTAAAAAAATTATAACGTTAAGATTTACAATCCTTTCTATTCAAAATTTCTTTCAACTAACTTTTTATTTTATAAATATCTACTTCCATTGCATAGTGGTAGTGCGTTTGCTTCGTAAGCGAAAAGTCGTGAGTTCAATCCTCACCGGGAGTTTTTTTTTTTTCGTGTGTCCGGGCCAACTAAATTGTTACTTTAGTAAAACTAAAATTTGTTTTCTAACCTATTTTTATTTTTATGTCGAGCGCTTGGGAAAATTAAACAAAATTTTTCGTCTAAAATAGTAAAAATCTTACAAATTAATACTATAACGGTTTTAATTAACTACACCTGGACATTAGCCGTCGTCAATTTTGCTCTTTTACGAATTGCCAGCTGGCAAAAGTCTGACCTGGTCAAAGTCCCACAGCGTCCGGCTTAGTATACAAGTTACCTGCCCTATTTATATATTGATATGGGGTTGCATTGCCTTTCCTTAATCGCGCTCCATCTGATCTCTCTCTCCCTCTTCCCAACTGCTTCACTTTCTGTGGAGTCGCTGAATGACGAAGTCCATCGCTCTTTCTCCTTCGCTAACCATTTTTCGGTGACGGGCAGCCATTGTTCCTCGATATTCGTTCGATAACTACGTAAGCTCTTCACCATTACTTTGATTTATCTCTTCTCATTTCTTGCATTGATTTGATATTCTTCTCATACATTCTTCTCCGGATTTACCATCAGTACAGTAGAGAACGTCCTTTACAATGGCGGAATTTTGCTGGTTTGATCTTCCTGGACTTGTTCCACCATTTCCACCATAAGGCAACTGATTGAACTTTTAGGTCGACCGTTATTTTCCTCCTTTATGGTCTCCCTCCATGTTTATACTCTACATCTCAACTTATCAAGGTATGTATGGCATCTTCTTCCTGAACTTTTAGCGGTTTAGATTTAGGTTATTATGTTATCAATTTGTGCGTATTTGTCTCGAAATTTTATGGTGGCTAGTTAGTGTAGAATATAACTGCTGGTCTTGGTGGTAATATCTGTTGTTTAGAATATGATGCTGTAAAATCGATTTGCAAAATTACAGTCGCATTTGGTTCTAACTATGTAACAAACATAGTTTAGGATTTATTACAAAAATAATTCTGTTTTGATATTCACTCCATGTAACTATGTGAATAAGTATTTTGGCAAATTGAAACTAATTGTTTAGGATTGAGGGGAAGGTGCAAGTGTAATAGAAGTGGTTCATGAATTTGCATCTTTCAAATAGAAACTAATTGTTCATCTGCCATTTTTGCCATGCCAAATCCTACTACAAATATTCTGTAAATCTCTATGTTCAAGCATACATCACAAATCTTGTGTTGCCACTTTGTAAATCCTTGCAATTGTATCATCGTCTTATGCAGCTGAGTGTACTTGTGAAGAAGCAGTCTCAGTCTGGGGAGAAGACATTATATATGCAAAGGAAGGTCATTCAAAGGATGTCAACTTTGGCACGTCAGGTAAATTTATCATATGCCTTTTCATTTCTGCTTTAAGATTGTAAAACTCAAAGAAGGATAAATTAAAAGGAACAGTTAAGCGTAAGAATATTATTCTGGGATCATTTTTTCTCTTTTCTTTTTTAAGGTGTTCAAAAACTAGATATAAGTTTCCTAGTAGCAGGAATATGTTTGGATGCATTTGTGAAACTATTTTGAGACTGGAGGGCAGTATTAAATGTCTGTTAACCTTTGAGTGTTTAATATGTGAATGTAGTTGTGTTTTTTTTTTTTTTCAATTAATTTTTTTAGCAGCAAGTAGCTTCCTGGCCAAATTATTAAAACTTCATTACATCATTTTTATTTTGTGGGTCAAAATTCATCCACAAATTACAAATGACGTCAAGCATTGCTTATAAGTGTTCAACATGCTTGTTCTCTTAATAATACTATTGCTCTCAAATATTGGTGTTCTTGAAATTTTTGTTGCCTATGATAACCCAATCCAACTCATAAAGAATTGGATTACGAATTGGATTGAATTGTAAGTTTATTTGAATTTGGGTTGGGTTATTTCGTTCATGGGTTCACCTAAAACTAATTTAGGTTGAACGCTCGAATATAATAATTGTCTAACAGTTGTTTTAGTACATGTGGTGTGGGGAGGAAGGATTGAACTTGCAAGATGGAGACAACCAAACTATTTCCAAAAATAATGTTTTGGAAATAGCAGCTGACTTGTGAAAGTGGCAAACGCTCAAGAGACGACCAGCGCCACGTTTATTTTTTTAAAAAAAATTTAGACTTGGTCGTCTCTTGAAGAGACAACATGTTTGGCGGGATTTCGAAAATCCCGCTTAATCGTGTCTTCAAGATACGACAATATGATTCTAGGCAAAAGAAAAAAACAATTATTATATATATATAACACAACATTTTAAAACAAAATGTATACTGGCGCAGTGAATAAGAGATTGAAGTTAAAAGGTCACGAGTTCAAGTGTTCGAGTGGTGATATTGGAGTTTTTCTCTGTGTTTTGGTAATATTATTATTATTAAATGATTAAAAAAATAAAAAAAATAATAAAGGATTCAATCTTTGCCCCAAATATTGGCTGACTTGAATTTTTTTGTTGTCTTGATATTGTTGCCTCCGCCGTCTAAGTCAGCAAAGAAGTGGAAGAAATGTCAAATGAGAGTGGTCTTTTAGATAAAAACTCCCTATATTTGGGAGTGATTTGTCATTTTCTAAATTTCTTACTTTACGTGCCGGACTTTCTCTCGAACGTCCTTGTCCTTGTCCTTGTCTTTGTCTATTTAGTTATACTAAACAAGACGTTGTTATACTAGTCAATTACATCACATACAATTCTACAATTTTTTAGTTTCGTTGGAAAAAGGTTAAAACATATTAATTTAATAATGTGTCAATTTTTGGAAAGTCCAAATGATATAATAGAATGTCAATGTCATTTTGCTAATAGGCTTTAGGTATTAATAAATAGAATTCTCTTTCTCATCATGTTGAATAATTTAAAATTCTATCATTCACATTTTGTAGATATCCTTAAGTTTTCTGGATAAATAAAAATAAAAGGCAAAATTTTACACCATAAAACTTTTAAAGATAACATACGGTTAATTCTCTTTTTTATTTATTTCATTTCTCACAGTGGGTGCCGCCTTATTCTTCAAGTTCCCAAAAATCTGCCACAAAAAATGGGATGGATTTTGCTGTATTTCTTCTTCTTCTATGCTCTTCACGTCCTGATTCATCGTCTTCTCAGCAGAGTTCAGAAACGCCCACCTTCCCCTTTCCCAGCCCTTCCCTTCGTCGGCCATCTCCAACTTCTCAAGCCGCCCCTTCACCGGACTTTGGCCAAAATTTCCGACCGCTACGGTCCCGTTCTCCTCCTCCGCTTCGGATCTCGTCCGGTCCTCCTCGTCTCTTCCCCTTTTGCCGCTGACGAATGTTTCACCATAAACGACGTCACTTTCGCTAACCGCCCCCGCCTTCTCGCCGGCAAACATTTAGGCTACGACTACACTGCTCTTGTTTGGGCTCCTTATGGCGATCACTGGCGCAACCTCCGTCGAATCGCCTCCGTTCATCTCCTCTCCTCCACTAATCTCCAAGCTCTCTCCTCCACACGCGCCGACGAGGTCCATTCCCTACTCCACAGCCTCCACCAGAAATCAGATCAGATCGTGGACGTCAGAACAGTGCTCTTCGAGTTCATGCTTAACGTTATGATGACGATGATCGGAGGGAAGCGTTACTTCGGAGACAACACGGCCGATGCAGAGGAATCTCGGAACTTCCAGGAGATCGTTTCTGAAACATTTCGCCTGTCGGGGACTAATTTTGCCGATTATTTGCCAATACTGAAGTGGATTATTGGAAGCAGAAGAATCGAAAGGAGTTATATTAATCTGCGGAAGAGGAGGGATGGATTCATGCAGAATCTCATAGAGGAGCACAGAGAGATCAAGAAATTAGAGATGCGCACCCAATCTCCATTATCGGGAGAGACGAAGAAGAAGAAGACGATGATCGAAGTGATGTTGTCTCTTCAAGAATCGGATCCCGATTACTACACCGATGAAATCATCATAGGCCTCATGCTGGTAATCCGGAGAATTAAACAAAACAACCACCAAATCTGAAATTATGAATTCAACTAATTAACACTTCTCTCGTTAACTTTCTTTTCCTTAATTTACAGGTTCTACTAACAGCTGGGACCGACACGACGGTTGGGACCATGGAGTGGGCGATGTCGTTACTGCTGAACCACCCTAACGTTCTGGCAAATGTAAGAGCCGAGATAGATGATGTCGTTGGCCAAGAACGACATGTCGACGAATCTGATTTGGAAAAGCTTCCGTATCTGCAGTGCGTGATTAAGGAGACGCTGCGGATGCACCCGGTGGGGCCCTTACTGGTGCCCCACGAGTCGTCCGCGGATTGTACCGTGGGTGGGTACCACATCCCACGTGGCACAATGCTACTGGTTAACGCTTGGGCGATCCACAACGACGGCGGAAACTGGGAGGAGCCGGCGGCGTTCAGGCCGGAGAGATTCTTGGAGGTGGCAGCGGGCGCCGGAGATGGGTTGAGATATGTGCCGTTTGGGTTTGGGAGGAGGGGGTGCCCTGGTGAGACGCTGGCGGTGAAAGTGGTGGGGCTGGTGGTGGGGTCGCTGATTCAGTGCTTTGAGTGGGACAGAATTGGAGAGGAAATGGTGGACATGGCCGAGGGAACAGGCCTCACCATGCCCAAGGCCCACCCCTTACAAGCAAAGTGCAGGCCCCGTCCAATTCTCTACCGCGCCATGTAAGTTTACACATCCAAATCTATTTGCTCTGAAATGTATCTTACCAGCTTAGGTTATATACTGATGCCGTGTAAAATAATGTTAAATACTTCACACCAAATCTAAATAATTAACTCAAATATACTGTGCTTAGTTTGGGGCTTATATAGTTTACATTTTAGATACGACTGTTGTTGGTTACTATTTCAATATCAATCAACATACTGTTATTAAGTTTACTTTAATTAAGTGAACGTCGGACATTTTCATGTAGTTAGATGGGCCAAATTTATAACTCCTCTTACTTTGGGTTTTCTATTTTCTATAGAATTTTAGTTAGCTAGTTGTGAGCATTCTTAAGACTGGAATGCTATTTGTAGATAATGGTTCTTTGATCTAGCTGGATGCTTTCTAGATTTGGTTTAAGCATTTTGTTGTTTTGTTTAGAGACTTTCTTAACTATTTAGTGCAGATTGATCCTTAGACAAACTTTTTAACTTAGTTTTGAAGTGAGATTAATTTTAACACAAATTAATGCTCAATTCGATAATTTTTAAACCAAAGCGAGCATTATGCTCGCAGTAATTGGTATATATCTACAACTAAGAGGTTGTGAGTTCGATCCTCATCCCCACATGTTGTGTTCAAAAAGGGGAAACAAAATCCATAATATTTAAAGTTTAAGAATAAATCAAATCTCAGGGAACTATTATAAACGATTCACTTCTATAGCTTCCTTCCATGATTTATAAGGATATTTCAAATAATTGAATAAACTTTTAATGTAATTTGAAAAGTTATTCTCTTTTTCCGATGGGTTCATAAGTCAACTAGATTAATATTAATTAGCATTGGAGAATATAAACCGGCAACCATTCAGGTAAACAATTCATAGAATCAATGAAAAGTATCTACTGGTCTTTCTTATTTCTATAAACTATGAAAAATAGTCACCAAACCACACCTGAACACTCTCCTATACAAATTTTATCATAAATGTACAAAACAGGGTTAATATTTCATTATTTACTTTTCATTTTACCAGAAGATCATATTCTCATTCTTGAGCATCTGCCTCAGATGCTCTGCGTCCGAATCTTATGCCAACTTTAAGTGAGTAAATAGATGTGTACAGTTAGGGTAGGCAAGAATCTTATTCCCCATGGTGGCAGCTGAATAATTGAACCGCATAAGATTTCAGAACCCACTTTTGCTTTCGTTACCCTCTCCCTGTTCAATCTTGACCTATATATAAACATGCCTCTGTCTGGCTTGCAACATACAAAGATCCAAAACACACTTGTTACACAAACGTAAACCAAAACCAGCTTGATCGCATCGAGCCATGGCCCAAGCAGGATCTCTATCGGCCGAGACCGAGAGTCTCAGCCACATGTTTAGCCTAATAGAAGCNGTTTAGACTTCCTTATATATCTGGGATAATAACACACATCTTCTTATAGACTCATCTCACCAGAACACCTATTTTTTTCGTTTAATGGCTTCATACTTAGTGTCTGAAACAGCAGTACGTCCATACTTACAAATTATTTTTTAAAAAAAAACAAACAAAAAAAATTTTCAAATAAGGAAAGAAAGATTTTATATTGAATTTGTAAAACAGTTGTCACAAGTTCATAACCATACTCTTTCCTCCTTTGTGTCTTCCTCTCCATCAATTTATTCAACATCTAAAATAGAAAACCTAAATTCATACATATCTATTTTTCTTTGAATCCGATTTCAACTACTCTCAGCACTTTCCAATGCAACTAATCTTTTTTATTTGAGTGGCGCGCAATTTTCAGGAGTATAATTTTTAGATTTTGGCATTCGATTTAAGGGTGTGATTTCTAGAGTTTTAACGTTCAATTTGTCCTAATTGTGTGAGTTTAGCATTTATGGTTTTTAAAGTTTAGCATATGGTTTGGGCTATGATTTCTATGTTTAGCATTCGAGGTGGGAGGGCATGATTTCAATTTTTAGTCCAATATTAAAGATGTGTTGTATATATGATATATCCACCATGTTAGTCCGTAAGTATGTTGTCATGTAGAAAATAACGAAACTCTCAAAATAAAAATATAAAAAAAATATAAAATAACGGCATATGGCATACACACAACCGTTATAAATAAAAAATATAAACAGTTCCTTTTCATCTAAATTGAGAGAAATAGAGGCTAAAGTCCTATAGTTGGTGTCAAAAAAGACAAGCAAATCATTGAAATAGTTTCTGAGTTCCGTCTGCCATTCATTTACAACTTTGAAACTTAATTTCACATTTCTACCACTGCATATGAAAATCAAATCAAGGGTAATGGTCATGCAGGCCTTGAATGATAGAAACTATTAAGTAATTTTAATTGGAGAGCGACACATTCAAGTTCAAGGAATATGCAAGTGTTCCTAATCATGTCTAATTAAGGTTTGTCAGGATTTCAAATCAAAGCAGAAAAAGGGTATAAACTGAAGAAATTTGTGTTAAATACAGATTTTCCATTGATTGCTGCTATAAGTTACAAAAGAAAAATCAGTGTAAGCTTTGATAATGATGGGAGGAAATTTAATCAGAAGCATAAGAAACCTACGAACCTAACCTAAATGAAATCAAAGCCTCCCTCTTAACAGCTTTATTGAGCTATTCACTATATCATAGAAACATAAGGATGTTAGTGACTCTACCTTGTTAGTATTCCTTTGGAACGAAGTTTTGCTGAAAATAGCATCAACATCTGAGAATATCTTTATATGGAAGGTTAGATTGACCCAGCAATGCTATATCTTCAGGGGAGAACAGATGCGAACCAGTACTCAAGTAGTGTCGGGCAACCCGCCCCCTGCGTTTACAGATCAAAGGAAATCAAAACCATTAAAGGGTTGGAAAAGATGAGATCGTGTGACTTTGAACTAAAGTTGCAAGGAAGCCTGTTTTCATTATTGGTACAAACCTCCGTCTTTTTGTCTTATCAGTGCCTTTTGATATGCGTGAAGTCTCTGATCTTGAAATGCAGCGCAATGTAGAAAGATATTCAAAGAACGGACCACCTTTCAATGCCAAATATGATCTTCCAGGAGCCACGCTCTGAATTACATTGAAGAGGCGTGATTTCGTATTCCTGCACAGAAGACGTTCAGGATGGTTGTGAGAAAAAGAAAAACCAGCTCACGGAGATCAGGTGTGAGAAGATTTGCTTCAACAGGGATTATGAAAACTGAATCAGCAAGCTATATTGTCAGTTAATTAAAGAATGCTGATTCTGATTTGGCAAAATTGAAAAGTATTTTTATGTTAAATCACCGTTACCATTTACAGGTTTTTTGTATGATACTTCGTTCAGTCATCTTAGGTACTTGCTTCATTAGTCAAATAGGATTCTAAGTTTCTCGTGCTAATTAGGTCGTTTAGGTCAGCATAATACTGCAGCTTGTATCCCATATTTTTCAGTGAGACCAATATCGAAATCTTCATTAGTATCAGGGTATAGTTCATTAGTCAGCTGGATTCTTAAGTCATCTTCGGGACACCTCTACCAAAAATAGACCAGCATTTATAATACGCACTTCTACAAGTGAAAATCTTAACTAAACAAATATTTAGTAAAAGATGATAAAACCAAAAATTACTGGAAGAAATGAAAATATCTATCAGGCTTCTAATGACACAGGCTTGCGACCAAGTATTATTACGCATGACCTTGTGCATCATGATAAAACCAAAAATCCAAAGGTTGACACTTGACAAATGCTATATATATATATTATGTATGTATATAATTCTTTTTTGAAAACCATGAGTGTCCGAGCCATTTTGCACACACCTCAACTCATCTCATGTGGCAATCGTCTAACCCTACAACATTTGGTTGCCAAGATAACTTGTAGGATGTTAAATCTTAGGTAGTTAGCCACTATGGTTTGAACTTATTCTCTTTCGTCGACCACTGGGTCAACCCATGATGGAAACTATAGGGCCTATATCAAATAGAAAGTCATTAAGGGTGGCTTTGCATACCTCTTGTTCCAATAGTGTGGCAACTTGCAGACCAAGGGGGCTGATCATATTCACTTTCGATACCTATTACACACAGGCTGGGAATGCCAAACATATTTGATACACCTTTTTTCTTGTAGAAAGGTGCAGATGCTTATTATACACTATTTAGTATTTAGGTTTATCTATCTCCGTATTCGATTTAACAGAAAAAGATATATTTCTATGTTTCCGAGGCTAAATTAGTTGTTTATATAAAGATTACATCATTTATGTTTTGGTATGATCAACAAACAGACATGACATACAGATATACCCAAGTTTTCTGAATAGTTACCCTTCACCTTGAAGTAAATGCATTTTATTAAGTTATCTAAAATGGTCAAAGAACCGAGCGAACATATAACAGACATGACATGCAGATATGCACAAATCCATGTGAAAGGAGATTTCAGTCTATTACCTCTCTGGCATGTGATTATTTACTGGAAGTCTCAGTTCCGAAATCTTTTTAGCGGAAGAGGAACTTTCCATCATATTACGCCTCATTAGTTTACCCAATGCTGCTGTATTAGTCGCAGAGGCAAGCATCTCTGATACAATATCCAACCTGCTATCCAAGCCCACACTTGAACTGGTGGTAGCAATATCACTTGCAAAGAAGCAAAATCCATGCTGAGAAATTGTTGATGCCATCTGCAATTGCTGACCTCCCCAGCATAATGAGTCTGATTCCTCAGATACAAAACTTGGCCTCTCTGAAATATCCTGAAAAAAAAATATGGTTAACATTATGGGCACAAATACCTGATATCCACAATTCAAAGCACTTACTTGTGGTCGGCAGGAAGAAAGCAACAGGTCCGAATCTGAAATTAGATGGCTCATTCTATGAACTAGTTCAATGATCTGAAGGTTTTCTCGCTTTTCTAACATAACATGATGTCTAAGAAGATCGAAGTGATGAAGGCGAAGCTGCTTCCACAACTCATGCACTAAATCACCCGACACCTTCAATTCAGGCTTCTCTACAAAGTTGGACTTGTTAAAGTCTACTCGGCTGCACTCATCCATCACAGGATACCCTCTGATAATGTTTTCCACGTGTCCATTACAAGAAAATCCTTCCATCTCTTGGTGAGATAAATTAAATATACTGCAAGTATTTTCCAACGCAGCAGTAGTTTCTTTTACAGTATCTGTAGGTGAATCAAAACTGTTGGCTTCAACTGATAACACATCCAGAAAAAACTTATTCACAGAAGTTTCTGGATTGGCACCAGCATCACCATTAGATTCCATTTTGGGAAACATATCATCAATTTCAGTCTCAGGAACAAATAACGATTCTGGTACATATGAGGTATTGACAGACATGGACATCTCATTCACATGTATACTGCCTGCAGTTTCTGAACATGGATAATGATCTTCATTAATAGTATCTGCTGTAAGATAAAGCAGCTCATGTAATGGGCTTGAGTAATTTTGAGATGCTGGACAGTGAGAAGATAACATATTGTCATCTTTATTTGGTACTAGAGAACATTCCTTGTTGATAGGCTCATCCTCAGAATCAGAAGACACGACCATATCAAGCCTTCGGCGCTTATGCTTAGATAAAGGAATAGGGGTTCCTGAAGTATCAGAACGCTCATGTGCAGCATCAAACTCAACAGCAAATTCATTGTGATTGTTAATTGAACCGTTCCTACTCAACATTGCAACCTTCTTGGCCTCTAGAAGATAGCTGTCTTCATAATTTTGATAATTCAGACCATTCCGCTGTTCCTCTTCATAAAATTCACCTTCACTTGCCTCTAACAAGCTAGAAGTTGTTTCCATTCTTAATAACATCTTTGTGATCTCTTTGTCAACTAGCTCTGATAACTGAGATGGGAAACTCCATGGCATTATCACCGGTAGTATCTGATGGCCAGCATCAAGATCAAATAAAAGTGAGCCATACTTCTTCTGGATTTTATCTGCACAATCAATAATATCCTTAAGACAAATTATCAACACAAATAAAAATAATTTCAAATACTTTCTTTCCAAAAGCATCAGGATCTTCATTTAAAGAAGCAATCACCCTGTTTCATTAAAATAAGAATGAGCACTGCAGAGTCCCAAGAAAGTTTTTTTAATAAAAAACTGAGGATGGGTAGAAGATCAGGATCCTTCATCAGTTTTCTTTTTCTTTTTCTTTTTCTTTTTTCTTTCCACGGGGGATCATATATTGTGTTTAAAAAAACTCTCCTCTGTAGCATTTTCAAGGGAGTTGCTTGTGGCAGTGAGCAACACGAGCACATCAAATGCACCTACTATTATCCATAGCAAGCAATGAGTAATCGCGTTGGTCACCTTTTTACATCTTGTTGAAGAAGGGAGTCTTCAATGTCTTATTAGTTCTTGTGAATAAAACATCTTTTTCTCGTCCATTACCCCTCATCATAATTTTTTTAGTACTTTTGGTTAAAACATCCTTGTCTCATTCATTATCTCCAACAATACAAGTGGACTCCAAAGTAAATTTTATTAAATAAAAGTGTATTCATGCCTAATAAAGAGTATGTAATTATTCCAAGCTCCTATTTAGAATATATAATTTTATATTTTAAAACAGCTCAGTTCACTCAAATGACTCCTTTTATGCATCTCTTGCCTTCAAGCAAGCAAGAAACTTTTTGTCTTAGAATATGCCTATGGGTCTTGGGAGGGTATAATTATAAACACTCAAAACGAATCAAATCTGCTAATTAGCTATAACAAAATTTTAACTTCCAGAACAGCCCATATTAGCTCGAACCCTGTAGAAATATCACCATGTCGTGTTTCTTCTAGCCCACTGCTACTATCTTCATTGTGATATGATGCAGTTGCAAGACATTCAATCAGGTCTCAATGTATATTAAAGGAATGGCTAGTCCAACTGGCCCATCGGTGTGTAGAAAGTAGGGGTGCAAGCCAACGGGAAATAATGGACACCAATCAATTTGGCTTCATAAAAGTTAAAACCAAAAATACTTCAGTTTGGTTCGATTTGGAAGTTAGTTTAGCCATGATGATTGGACAGTCAGTTCGGAGAAAAAGGGGTGAAGTGGGATTTCAGTGTTTTTTCTCCCCCATCCCCCAAATTTTTGGGTTGTCCCTGTCATGGCTAATAGGCAACTTAAAATGGTTGGCTACCACCCATACTGGCAAGACAATGAACGAAAACTAGATTGATAAACTACCACCTCTCAAAATAGATTGATAAACCATAAAACATATGAGCATTGTGTTAGGATCTCAAATACAAGAACCTAACTAGATAACTATATTGCAATATCAAAGAGAAATTACAATATCGATAGCCTTTCGAGAGGGCTATCTCTCTCCCAAGAACTCTCTCAAGTTCCTCACCAAAATACTATTCCCCAAAGATGTCATTCTCCTTTCCCTACTACCCCTATTTATAACACCTCCCCTAACTAATTACCATAATACCCTCCCACAAATATACTAATAATATTTCCAACTATCCCTACTACATGACTCTCATACATTGACGCATTGTATGTACCAACTTCTGTCAAAATCTTTAGAAATACTTCCAAGGACCTCGGTTCAAATCCTTGAAACTTAAAACCTTTTCAAAACCCTTTGGCCTTTTGTTTCCCGGAGTTGGAGTGAGCCATGAACATAATAAGTAGGCCCCAATACCTCAGCTATTATTATTTTTTATTTTTAAAATAATTTTTTAATTAAAAGTATAAAATAGAGGTCAAAACCTACAATAGCTATCACTATGAACAGTTAATGTTGCCTTACCGCTTCAAGCACATATTACGTGTCAGGCTAAACTATTTTCAAGGAACTACAAGGATGCAAAGAACCTTTCATGTCGCTGGAACCACGAGTTATTAGCTTTGACTATGAAATCAAAGAGTGGTCATATAGATCGCCAAAATGATGTTAAATGAAAATACAGTCAGAGAAAAGGTAGATTTGACAATGACAACAATCGTATTTATACTTGGAAGGCATGACTAACCTCTAAATCCTTTACCCTGGCACCAGAACTGAAGATGCATGATGGTTTTCCGTATATCTTTGTGGTAACAATGAATAATGCGCTCGAGTAAGCATGGTTGGATGTTGACTCCTTCAGAAGCACATATCTAAAACGGAAGCAACAATGAATAAACTGAATGGCAATTCAAGTAATATGTGATTAGTAGATGAGCCTGAAGCACACACCATATATAAATGGCTGAGTAGTTCTGTTGATGATGGCCGTATAAAAGAAACCTGTAGCCTGTCCAAATTATCTGGAAGAACAGGATCGCTACCTATAGTTCAAGGATAAAAACGAGGATTAATTCATCATTGTGTAAACTGTAAAATTACTCCAAAATGAAGTTAATTCCACATGTAAGCACTCTTACTATTGCTGGTCAATATTATTGGTCCCTTTCCTGTATCAGCGATCTCTTGTATTGAAGAAATAAAACCACGATCCTCAAGGAAAATGATATCCACGTCCTCTAAAAGAATTAAAGGCTTAGCATCACCATGGTTATTGGTGCTTTCAGCTACGATGTATTCAAATTCTCCAACACCCTTAATATTATCAGAATCATCATCTGATAAAGAGATGAGTTCAATCACCTCATTGGTTAAATTTTTGGCTGCTGTATTCGCTTGAAGAGAGGGAGATTTATCAACGAACTTGTTCCTCGACCCCTGGGAACTTTTTACTGCCCTGTAAGATAACCACTCTTTCAATCATTATGAGGAAAGATTTATGGCCAGCAAAAAATAGACCAAGAGCTAATTTTATAGCTGATTGAAAAATATCAAAATGGACATCCAGGCAAAATTTGATGCTTTTTCTGGAAGGAGATATCACCAATTAATGTGCACCAGACAATAAAATTCCTAAGAAAAAAATAGACCACTCTTCCTTTCTCTTGCCTCTTTTAGTCCTCTGAAAAAAATTTCTCCTTGACAAGTTAAATATTCGTTGACATAAATGAATAAAGAAGCTTTTAAAATATAAACAAAGCTTAAATTCAGCAAAAATTAAAAGCAACTAGAAAAATGTAGAACAAGCAATATCGTAAAATTTAAGAAAAAAAATTTATTAATATATGAGATCTAAGCCAAATTCTAAATAGAACGGACCATTTTAGCTGATGAGATTGTAAAGCCTCTCCAATCATCTGCTTGAGAACAGCTCCCGATCGAATGACAGATGCACTGAACTGGAGGACAACATATTAGACATATTCAAGTTTATCTTTTAATAAGGAACACCCTAGAGAGTGGGGGTAGAGGGGAGCACCACTATAAGAAATCTATAATAAAAGAAGGCCCTCCAATCAAGGTTAAACAAAAAAACAGCAGTTATGAAAAAATAAATAAAATATAAAATATCTTGTGAAGGGCACGCTAACAGGAAGCTTGAAACTGTACAAAGTTACAGAAACTATCTTTTTGTCAGAGAACTTCTCTCTCTATCCATTAAAAAAAAACAACAACAACAAAAGCTCTCACCGTGGATCCTGGCTTTTACCAATCAACCACCAACCCAATAGGATTTTGAGGCATACAATCTTCAATGTTTTTAAGAGAGCAGAAAGACATACCAAAATATTTATTAAGAAAAAGTACCTTTGGCTACAAACTGACAATTGAGGAAAAGTTGTTTTGGGGTTTGTCATCAAGGAGATAAGGACAAGACAATATCTCCAGTACGGTTTCTATTTTTTAGCCAATTTTGGGTATTTAAGCTTCAATTTAGAAGTAACAGGGATGAGATTCAAAAGGCTTACAAGTGAAGGAACAAAGTTTGTCGAGAGTCCAAATCACCCCATATTTGTTGGAATTAAGATCAACCACCAAATTTTATCTCTTTGAGTCTGATCCAATTCTAAATTTCTCTTTCGAAGAGGTTGCTCCTAATCCTCAAGTCCCGATTCAGACATAGTCAACCTTCTACATGATTTTACATTTTATTGATCTCTGATGCATGAAATCTTTACGGTCATTAGAAAGGTTAGGAAGACAATTGTACATAGATGAGGAATATAATCCCCAACATATTCAACAAAAATAAAGGCTTCTGGATCAGCTTTTGCCCGTAACAAACTCTTTCAAGTTCAGCAGCAGAGAATTCCTTGAGGCCAAGTTTATTCACTCAGCAAAACACAATAGCTCATCGGTATAATAATGAGAACATGCACAATCCTAACTTTTGCGTAATAGAGGGATACACAGCTTACTTATTCAACCAAAAAAAATTAACTTTTCTATTTGCTTATGCTAGTAGGAGCAATTTCAAGTTGAGGCACAAGCAAATTCCTTCTTACAATTTGCAAACTCGTTCATTCAGGCAGAAAAAAAAATCATATGTACTATTCCCTACACTCACACTTGAGCAATATTATTGGGTTACTTATTTACTGAAAATACTATTCGAAGTCCAAATTATTGAACTTTATGTCAACACCAATAACATGGACATTCTAGTAATGTTTTTATGAAATGAAATGAAGAAATAAATAAGCCGATACATGAGAACTTTTCCTCACGGTTGGATGATTTAATGCATGTTTCCCTCGATGTGATTTCTAAAGCATGTACAAAAAATAATATGAGTAGGTCCGCACTTTCCTGGAAGGTGTACATGGGCAATAAAGGCTAAGCCCTGTTAATACAAAGGTGCTCCAATGGAAAACCATAAGTAACAAAGGATATAGGAAATGAAAGCATAACTCGGCTAATCTATCAAGGGATAGACATGCTATAATTAATTGATTGTGCATGTTATGTAGCATCAATGATAAATTATAAGTTAACTGATATCATTTTACATCTGTAATTAAGAGAACGTTAAGGGGTTAAGATTTAACATCAGCAATCATCGTCACAAAATAGCAGAAATATAATAAGGGGGAAATTGTGAAATTAGCATTACCTCAAAAACCCTGAAACCATGCTCTTCAGCACAAGCATAAATAGCTGCAGATTTCCCACTCTGCAACCATATAGAAATATTATAACCAAAGGGAAAAATCATAAGCAGCAAAGAGAATTAATTTCCACTCTGCGTACCCCAGACGAACCAGTGACAAGGAGAACATTCTTCAGGCTATCTTCTCCATCTAGACCTTCATAATCGGAATCACTCTGAGAACAGTTACCACTGTTATCTTGCTTCTGGAATTTATTTCCCACAGCAAAATCTCTGTTGTTCTGTGAATTTCTTTCGTACCAGAGATGTAGCCACTCACTCATAAATTTCACTGATTCTAGATTACCACAAACCTGCAAAACTATGTGTCAAGTAAGGGATGACAGAAGAAAATGGAAACCAGATGGCTCTATTGCAAATGCAGATTTGGTAGCCAACCTCCGTGGCCATCTTCGGCTGATATTTGTACGTCCATAAACAATTCTTTGGATGGCTTTGACAACGAAGGTAGTAGGACTGCATTCTATTATTACAAAGCCAAATTTTAAAATGAAGAATCAAATAACAGGAAAAAAAGCAAGCAAAAGACTAAGCATAAATGTTTAGAGAAAAGCATAATCATCTCTCCAGACACCAAAGATATTGAAAACTACCAGTAAACGTTGAAACATTAGAAATTCAAGAAGCCACTTATAAGGATGTATGGTGCATTAATCGGACAACAATAATATAATCCAAGACATTAATATATATATAAATAATAACTATGAAGGTCAAAGTAATTCATATGAATTATGAATTTATTTTCACTTCAAGTTTGCTTGCTAGTAGTAATAATAAACTGACTCCAGTGCAGCAACATAATGTATGACCAACTTATATATTAAAAATCTCATTCCCTAAAATGGAGGAATATTATCTCGTGAAATGAGCATAGATTTATTAGTGGTACCATACACTAAAGCCATAAATATTCACTGCATTTTGCAAGTTACGGCTCAACAGTTCTGCATAAGATGCTTATTCCACCCCCCATATCAATTAATTCCCTCCATAATTTAAAAAGAAAGGTTGGCTATAAAAATAAACAGGGAATTGGCAGGAAAAGATGGGAGAATATAAACTAACATTCAACCCCCAACACAGAACTACATGTAAAATTTTAAACTAAGCTGTTAAGCTTAAAGTTTCCTATTAAAAAAACTTGAAGTATCTGGAGTGTAAATGAGAAGTATAGAACTAAGTGTTGGACATGATGATTAAGGCAGAGTTTGAGAGGGAAAGGGAAAAATGGTAAATCAGACTAAAGTTTCTCTAGGAGCAATAAGAGGGGTCAAAGAACTTGATTGTTCATAAAAATAATAACCTGTCCTGAAGAAATCTACTTTGATGCTCAACGGTTGGCCTTGCTTCCGAATCACTAAGCCCACATGTTTTATCCAGGTCACCATCCTGACAATAATTCATGAGCAAGAGATTATTTAGGTTCAAAATTAGACACGGTCAGTGACAACTAGTGAAATTTAAATGAGTCATATTTCAAAAGTAGAGAAAGAAGGAAATTAATTCTTGAATACAAGATAAAATATATACCACTTCTGCACTACTTAGGAGGTGATGGAGCATCACGCCCTTGTCAGCAACCACAGTGGATGCAGTTGACATTATCTCTTGAATGGGCTCTTGCTCGATGGAACCATTATTCATGGGGTCCTTATTCGCACCAGGAGCAGAATTGGATGATTGCAACACAATTGGAATGTCGTCTAAACATAAAGACTTAACAGAGACTTCAAATACTGATGAACAAGTGTTTTGTAATGTATGGACATTATTTACAACATTTCCGTCAAGGAATGTCCAGTTTTTCCAGTCTGGAGATAATTCATCATCCTGCACAGTATTATCAACATTATCGCCTTGGATGAAAAATAAAAGATATACTCTTCACATTTTGAGGAGGATAACAAGTTAAGGGCAGCGGGTTACCAATGGACGGAATGAAAAGGAGTGGGTGGGACAATGTTAATATGCATAGTTTTTTTTTTTCTTTTCCTTTTTTCCATTGGTTTTGTTACCAAGAGTGTTAATATGTATTGTTAGATAGTGCTATAATACAGATCCATGTAGAGACAATTTGACTTCTCCTTAGCAGGCACTAAACTTCACAAATGATCGTCTGTGCCTGCACTTTGTATTTTCGCATGCTATATATAAAAGCCATGACAAGAAAACCATACCCCAGTTCTATCATAAACGTGGATTGGATTGCAATCGGTTCCACTTTCCTTTCTCTCAACAGTGCACCCTCTCTCTACCGATTGAGTTGCCTCTTGACTTTTCCTCCCTGCTTTTAGGGATGAGAAAAAGGGATGTATTTGCCTTCCTGCAAACATCCGTGAATTTTCCTGATAAAAAAAATGTGGGCTTAGGCTGGAGACTTAAATATTTAATGTCACGGCATTGAACAAAATGAAATGCAATAATCACTCATTTTCAAACTGCAAAAGCCAAGATAGAGACTCAAATCTCTTTGAAATACATCACGAGAATGCAGGCCAACAACAAACAGCAGAATTGACATGCAGAAACTCATCAGCCTTGAATAAAAACTAAAAAGTATGCCATGCTACCAGACCCGGTGCAGGAACTTCAAATTGTGAGAGAGCGACAAGAAGATAAGCTATAAAACTGACCTCAGCGATCATTTTCGCCTCCTGCCGCAAGTCGGGAATTGTCGGAGATGCCTCGTCAGTGTGTAAAATTTTCTTTGGCGTCAAGTTTACGGCTCGCTTCCCCTTTGCCTGTTTCTGTATGTAAAACATAATTATTTCATCTCGGAGATGAATAGAGCTGTATGCAGGATAGAATTTGTTCAAACTAAAGATGCAGACCTTTTTCCAATTAGTAATCACCCAAAAAAATGTACTATATTTCGCATTACAGTGTCTAATTCCAGCATTATCTCAACTCAAAGAAGAAGAACTCTAGCCAGAATGAACTATACATGCTACAATTGTTCTCAAGCCTGACAACGATCGTGATAAAATTGAGTATAAACTTATTCAATTAAAGCCACTTTTCACCTTCTTCGAGCTTCTCGATTGAGGCGTCGTCTTTCCCTTCGACTCCCTTTTCTTCCTGCCCTGACTTCCGCACAATTCCTCATCCTCGACGCAATTGTTCTCCTCGTCTGGACCTCCTCCGTTTTCTTCCTGTTCTTGAGGCTTATGAGGAAGCAGCGTGGACTGTACCAGTTTGCGGCGAACACTTCTAAGCTCCCGTTTGCCGATCTCAGAGGAGCCAACCTCCGTCGCATTCCCCGCTTGCTCAGCCGGACTCTCCATGAATTTACGCTTACGCCCAATTTTCAGTGGCCGATTGACTACAATTTGTGAGCTAGGGTTTTGAGAGAATTAGATAATCCGCGTGAGACTGAGCAAAGGCATTGTTTGTAACGAAACTGAAACGTGATCCAAAGTACAGCAGAAACCTCGGAGGAGGAGGGGAGATAAAATTGGAGGGAATCGGCTCGTTTATTCCCGCGCTGACGATCTTTTTTTTTTTTTTTAAGATACTGTGATATCTTAATTCTTGATTAATTAATAAATCTACCCGTTTTAAGTAATAATATGAGCTCCCACACTTGTTTATATTTATTGGATACGAATTACTTGCGGGATATTTACAAAATAATAAAATAAATCATCATAAATTTTTATCTTTGTAAATGGTTTTTCTATCTTGATTGGAAAACCGATGAAATTCGTATATATTAAATAAATATTATACCGTCCGTAAAAAAAATTAATAACAATAAATATAATACCGATATATGAATAGATTTGTTAAAAATGTTACGATTCGTTTGGTTGGAATCCAAAATCAATGAAAACATAGTTATTTTCAATATTTTTATATATATATTAGATTGCAAATTTAAAATTGAAATCTCAATTTAAAAAATTAATCAAAATAGTATATTATATTGGTAACGACCCATTTAATATTTAAAAATAAAAAATAATATTAAATTAATTTATTAACATGTTGCAGAGTTATTGTTCTACAGTATTACCTATTTTATAATATATTATATTTTACCTTCTTAATTTTAATAATGAATTTATAATATGATATAATATATAATTTTAAAAATTTATATTTTTTCATGTAATTTTGTATTTTAACCTTTTCAATTCATAATCTGAAAGAATCTTGATCACAAAATTAAAAAACAGTTTTCAAAAAAAATGTTCCAAATAGATATTCAATAAATTTATTTGATTCAATAAATCTAAAAATACAAATTAAGATTACGTAGGGTTTAAATTTTGTCACCATAATTTAAACGGCCACTTCGTCGAACAGTTGATTCGAGGAATTCTATATTTTTAAATAAATAAATTTTAAAAAAACACCGTCATTGCATTTTCAAATTTTTATTTGAAGCATTTGAAAAACATGACTTCATAAATGGTCGTATTTTTTTTTTTAATAAATTTTCATGCTATTCAATTACTAGGGTTGATGGAGAAGTTTCATGTTTAAATTAGTAGGTCAATCTAACTATAGTTTAGTCCAATGTCTTTATTGCTGATATTTTTTCTCTCCCCAACCACAAATTGGTTTCATATTATTGAATGGTAGACATTAAATTAACTAAACATTTGATCATATGAGAAAACACAATATAAGATTTGTAAACGTATAAATCAAATTTAATATATCTCAAATTAAATTAAAATATCAAATTAAATAAAGTCACTCTGACCATAAACTGGTCTAATCTCATTCACAATTCATGAACAAACTTAATTCGAATGGAGTCCAACATTCATTAAAAAATCACAGACAATAAACTAGATCGATTCAAAAGTCGAAAATTCGAGTTCGTAGGCCCATAATTTAGATCATTTCTAATTTCTATGTGCGGTGGTTATTAGGACAGTCCAATCTTATTTGTATTCTAATTATGGTCCACAAGCATTACAAAAATACTTTAACAAAACTTTGCAAGTACACAAGGCTTTGATATGAGCCCCAGCACTTTCACGTTCAAATTAAACACTAATTGAATAAATATCATACGTTATAATACTCTACACAATTAACAAAATGAAATTATATTTATTCAATGAATAAAAAATGTATCCGGAAATTTTGTGTGAACACCTATTTGAATAGAGGTGTTAAATGTTAATATCAATAAAAATATCGATGTATGAACTTTATAAATTTTTCAACGTGGATGCATATTTCGTGAAAATTTATAATAATAAAAAATTCATAAAAAAAAAATTGTTAATAACTCTAATTACTTATACTAGGTCCATGAATACTATTTTTGTATGCTACAAAAATGTTTCGGTATCCTTACGTCAGTGTTGAAATCATTAATATATGTCTTAATCAATCGAACTACATTAAGATTGACACGTGGATCGAAATCTATCACTGTAAATAAAAGGGGTATATAATTCAAATATTAAATGAGACATCGAAGTATGATAATTTGGGTTACATTATCGTATCATTTACCCTTTATCATCATGGTCAATAAATACATTGATGCCAATAATATATTTTTTATGATAATTTCTTAAGCTGGCAATATCCCAAAATTTGACAAACAATTAAAGGAAGTAAGGTAAATCACTAAAGTGTTAGATCAATTAGAAACCAAAATAATGTTGTATTACAAATATATTTGTTGAAAAAAAATTCATTTATTGTTAATATGTGTATAATTCAGCTACAAATAGTATCTAAGTTCAAATCATTAAATATATAATTTTTTTCCTTTTTAGTTTTATCCCATTCTATATATATCAAGTTAATTTTATTAAAGGCCAATGTACTTTCACTCTCATTCCCCTGTTCAATCTCCTTTTATTTCAACATCTCACCTCCTAAGTTGAAATTGTAACAGTATTTCCTCACAAACCCTTTTTTAAATTCTCCTGTTTGTTTTTATTCGCCAAGTGAAAATCCCTGAAATCCATTATTTATATATATTAAAATAATTATCTGTCCAGAGTAATTTAATTTAGAAGAAAATAACTTTAACCTTGAAACCATTTAAATATACAGAAAAAAAAGGAAGAAATTGATGATAACAAACAACTATGAGAAAAAGCCGCCATTGTTTTGAAGACAGCAAATTATATAGACGTAGAATTAGACAATGAGATGTTTATACCATTTATCAGAATTCAAATTACAGAGAGAATATAAATCCACCCAACAAAAAAGGAAAAAGGAAACACACCAACACAAATATATTCTGCAGACAGACGAGAGAAATTAGCTAAGGAAAATGCCTTTTGATGATTTTTCACCACCAACATTCCTCTGCTCTCAGAATATAAACGAAAATCAGGCCGGCGGAGCCTTGGCGGCGGAATTGGTCTCCGGCTCGGCGGTGATCGGCAATTGGGTGGCGGCGGCGGCGCCTTTCTGATTCATCAACGAATTGAGATGGTCCCTGGCCTTGCCCCACACCACCAAGTACAGCCCCATCACTATGAAAACGGCTCCAATTATACTGCACAACACAAAAATTAAATAAATAAGATCATATTCATGGCCCGTGGAGTTTAATTAAATAAATTGGAAGGTAAAAAGACGAAACTGACCTTCCGAGGTGGATTTGTTCAGCCAACACAATGGAGCCGAGGATGGCGGTGATGATCATGCATAGAGGGGTAAAAGAGGTAACGAAAACCGGGCCACGTTGGCGGATCACCACGCCTTGTATGTAATACGCAAGCCCAGAGCAAATGACACCCTGGAATGGAATATATAATTAATTTGAAAAAACTTTAAAATTGATATTTAAATATATTAAATAAAAAGAAGGAATTGGGGTTTAATTAATTACAGTGTAGACGGCGGCGAGGAGGCGGGAGTCCCAGCCGATGACCCAGACGGAGAAATCGCGCTCCATGATGAGGGTGACGATGGAGCCTTCGAGGGTGCCAGCTAGGCAGATGAGGGCGGTGAGGGACAGCTCAGCAGGGTACTTCTTGAGGGTGAAGGATTGCAAGATGAAGAAGCCGGACCAGCCGATGATGCTGCCGAGGAGCATGAGGGTGCCGAGGACCCAGTGCTGGTCCGCGGACTCGCTGCTGCTCTGGTGGGCCGCGTGCCGCCCCGCGCCGTGGAAGATCTCCACGATTGGCCCTTTGTATAGAGTCATCACCATGGCTCCTCCGATCGTCACCACCGTTCCCGCCACCTTCGCTATGCTGCGGATTTTCTTGAAGTTCACACTTTCCAGCCTGCCCAAAACCAATCAAAATCAAAATCACGTATTACAATTTACCTTTTTTTTTTAATGAGGAATAAAATCTAGAGTTTTTGTTTTTTTCGAGTACTCAAGTTTGAATCTCCCACTCCTATAATAGATATAATTTACCTTAATTACTGATCTAAGCTGATGGAGTTGGTAGGTGTTTTATTTTTACTCAAGTAGTAGATTTAAAACTTTTTATTTTTTTAGGACACAAAATTATTTTTAACCTCATGTCCTATTGAAAACGAAATATTTCACTTATGTATTTTTAGTATAATAAGTAAAGGTGGGGGATTACTTATCGTGAATAATTTTGTGATTTTGAAATATTGGAAAATTTGAATTTTTTTGGATGGAGAAAGATTTGAAATAAAATATAATTGCTTTATTTTTTTTTAGATATTCTTTGAGAGAGAACATAAATGTATTGGTATATTATTTTAATTCTGATTTGTTGGTAGAAAATTAAAATATTATAGGGTTAAACTAGTAATTTTATATGAAAGTGATGTGAAATCCATTTCAGTTTTTAAAAAATAGAATTTCAAGTTTAGGAAATGAGTTTATTTTTTCTCTCTGTTAAAAAAACTAAATTACGAAATTTATTTAATTGTGAGATAAAAGTTAAAATGCGGGTCTCTTGATATGACACGTGTGTACGATGGGATTTAACATTAACAAATTAAAATACTAATTAGTTATATAAATGAAGTGGAAGTGGAATGATAATTAGAATCACGAACGAAAAACTTAGACCAATTAGATTTTAATTAACCCATTATTAAAGTATCTCAAATAATGGTAATCAATCAATTGCTTTCAAAAGCACCGTGAACAATAACAGCATCATCCATAGATGTGATGCGGAAAACAGAGAGAAAAATTTCAAAAACTTTTTTGAATAAACCAATTAATTAAATTAAGAATAATAAATAACCCAACAGTTTAAGAATAAAGATACCTGAAAATGAGAGCCATGATGAAGGTAACAGCAGGGAGAATATTAAGAGTGACAGACGTGAATGTTGCTGAAGTAAACTTCAAGCCCACGTAATAAAGATTTTGATCCAGCACTGGCCTGTTCTCATCCAAATCAAATCATGATCAGACGGCTGAAAAATTTCCAGCACATCAATAAGAAAAAAATTGCATGTGAAATATAATATTACTCGAGAAAGCCGAGGAGCATTATGCGTAAAATTATGGGGAGTGTCAACTTTGGTCTTATTTTCCTGAAATAAAAGAGGTATTAAGTTAAATATAATATACAGACAGACGCATTGAATAATTTGTACAGATCAGTGAGGACGATGACCTTTCGAGGACGAGGGCAAAGGGGGAGATGACAATAGTGGCGACGACATGTCGGTAGACGGCGAGAACGTAATGACTCATGCCCTTCTTAAAACAAAGGAGTGTGACGATGTACATGCCAGCGTACCCGAATTGAAGGGAAACCATGGCCAAATAGGGCTTTATTTTGTGGATGGCTCCACAGAACATTGCAAGCCCTGTTTCTGCTCCCATTTTGTTTTTCTCTCTCTCTCTTTAGAATTTTGTGTAAGAGAGATTATGGAAAGGTTTCAGGCTGATGGGAAGAGGGGGAGAGAGATTTGGGTGTTCTTATAGCTGAATAAAGCAGAGAGAAAGGTGAAGCACTAATTTGAAATTGGGGCTTTTTTAGGGTTTGTATTATCCACTTGGAATTGGAAATTCACATACAAACACTGTGTAAATATGAAATCCCATTTTTGTTTTTTTTTTATTAATTTAAATTTTGATGGTGGGGTTGGAAAGGTGCGAGGGGAAAGATGTAGCTGTTGCTTGGATGTATATCAAGACAAAAGTATATAATTATTTCTCTTTTTATTTAAAAAATATAATTAATTTGATTTTATAATTTGTTATTTGGAAGTGGAGTTTTGATTCATTGACCATCAGCATAAATATACACAAAGGGGTCAGCTGGTTGGGTTAGTGCTATTCATAGCCATGACCCATTAGATATTGGTCTCTTGTGGGTCTTTTTTCTTTTTTCTCTAAGAAAAATTTACTTTGTAATGTGTTTGAAGAGTGTACACTATTTTTATTTAAATATTAAATAGCGAAAGCGAACCGGGTGGGAAAATTATTATCGTAGGAGGGTTTTTGTGCTTAAACCAAATTTCGAGTCCGTTATATGAGGGTAATTCGAGAATAACTTAATGGATAAAATATCTATTGTTATTCTATAAGTTGATTAGATATTTCACTTCACAGTTCTACATAGACTAGATATGATATGGTTGTGATTATTCATAAAGTTTAGTCGGTTAAAAAAATATATTTATAAACAATTAAAAAAAACAAATTGTGAATTTTATAAAGTGTATAACTAGATAATCGTTGAATTAATGGGTTACATGATATAAGCGTACATATGAAAGAACCAGTTTTTAATAGCTATTAAGACCTAATAAATGTGTCGATTGTTATCGATATACATTTAGAAGGGAATTATGAGACTAGAAAGATTCAAATTAAAAAAAAAACGTTGAATCATCGTAACTTTATAAATCTTAACTTCAGGTAAATTTAGATGTACTGTGAAAAAAGTATTTGTAAGGGAAACACTCATTTTTATAAGCACTTTTAAAAGGAAATATAGTTAAAATTAAATGATATCTAAAAGTTATTTGAGTATATTTTTAATATATATATCTTTTTACTATTTCATCAAAAGAATTTTGATTATCGAAAAGTTTAAAAGGTATGTTTAAAAATTTAATCAAACGCTTTTTTCTTTTTCTAAATACTTCTGGACCTCTAATCGGTACTATTAACAGAAATTGTACTGTTAAAAAACAATTGGCATTGTCATAAATACTGTATAATAAACCTTAAATAGGTAAAAAGTAGAATAAAAAAATCGTAATCTTGCTTTATCTTCCAACATAAATTGACATCAGCAACAAATATATTTAAAATATTATGATGTTGTAGTATCCCAATCACCAATCATTAACATAAATAAACAATTAATTGGTTAAGTAGTAGGCAATAAATTTAATGGACTTCAATCAATTGATTAAAATAAACCACTCGAAATAATTAATTAGATTAGTGGCCAACTTTTATTGCTCGGGGCTGTAATAATGAATTCGAACCAAATAAATTCAATTCACAATATTAATAAAATTATTGCTCAAGGGCAATTTCGACCAATTTGAGAAAAAAAAAGCTATTCCACATAAAATTTAGAGTTCAAAAAATGGGAAAATAATAGTAACTTTATACTTACTTTCTCAAATATATTTATTTAATAAATAAACAAAACCATTAATGTTTTTTTTTTATCAAATAAAAACAAAAGACGTTGAGAATGTAGTGAGAGTTGATCCATTGATTTTTTTCTTCGTTATATATGGATTAAATATATAATTCAATAATTATTGTTTCGTTTAGTCATTTTTTTAATTTAATTATAATGTTTTAAAGTTTTATTTTCTACATTTTTTTTTACCAGTATTTACTATCACAAAATGTTAAATTTGTGGGCTAAAATGATTGTGTGATGTTAAAATACATTACACTGCTTAAGGTGGAAATAACATTGGTTTAATTTCAATAAATAGGCATATTAAACCATAAAATTGGAAACTACCCGACCCACATGACCCGAATAATTTTTTCTTAGTATAACATAAATGTGAGGTTAATATTTAAACCTCCATAAAAGAATGAGTAAATATTTTAATCGCTAAATTAGGCTCATATTTAACATTAATCTATTCAACTCCAACCAACTCGTTGTTATATAAAATGAATAACTTAAAAATATGTTCATAATTTAACATTGACATCGATCGACCCGTAATAGATATTTTTATCAACTAAGATAGATAAATTGATATATGTTATCATACCAACAACTAACGATCTCATACCCAAAGCGAGTATTTTTCAACGGTAATTTGCTCTTATTTTAACTGTTACTTTTCTCGATTGTTTAAAAATCGTTGGGAAAAAGTCACTTTTCTCGGCTTTTCTGTAACCGTTAGACAAAATGACTTTTCCGTACAGTTTCCAAAGAGTTGGGGAAAAGTGATATTTTCCCAATTTTTTTTTTTTTTGCAAAACCGTTGGGAGTATCATTCACTTTGCCCGACTTTTTTCTCGACGCATTTATTTCGTCGGAAAATGTCATTTTAAAGGTTTTTTCCGACGTTTTGAAGAGTCTGAAAAAACTTTATTTCTTGTAGTGATAGCTCAACCATAAAGATACCTCAGGTAAAGTTTAAATCTAATAAACCATCATTAGTGGTTCATTGGTCAAAATAGACTACGATTAATTAAGAGGGAATGAGTTCAAAGAGACCACATACTTTAGAAATTAGTAATTAATAGGATCATACCCATCAGATTAATCAAAGTTTCGAGAAAAAATTTGAAGTGTGTGGTTTCTTTTTAGGATTCCAATTAGGAAATAGGTGGTGCATATTTTAGCACACAGTATGCTAATTGGTGGACACGTCACTACATCATTTGCAAATAAAATGTGGTTGGCGTTTTTCTTAAGGGACCAAAAATAAGTGGGGATAAGCATTATTTATTTAATTTTAATATATATATATATATATAAAGGAAAATAAAGGAGGGGTCAATAATAATATTCTAGAGTTTTCGAAATTCAGATTTAGATGTATCTTCCTTTTGCTTAATATAATGCTCCAAAAAGAGATATGGCTTGTCAAAATTTTCAGATCTTGGTTGATAAATATGTCGGTTATACTTATATCAAATCAAAATTGGATATTCAAGTACAGTTTTCGTATCTAAATTCGAAATTATAATTTAAAACTAATAAAATAAATCAATAAATGTTTTTGGGATTAATATTTTCACTTTTCAGTATCGTTGGGTCTATAATTTTTCATAAACTGAGTTATGAAGGCTACTCCCTTGAGGAAGTGACTGATCTATCATACAATGTGGACGAAATTAAACTCTATTTCATGTACTTTTCCTATTTTCTTATATTTACTTTTTTGTTTCCTTTGATGTTTTTTAATGAAGTAATTAAAAAAAAAGGAGCGATAAATTTTGAAATACGAGGAAAAGAGGGATAAGAATCAATGAGTTATTGAAAACGTACCTTAAAAGTGTTTTTGAAGATTAATGATTTATCAGGTTGATTTTGTTTCTTTTTCCCTTTAAAAAATTTTATCAGTGTTAAATTTGTCAGTATTAATCAAATGAATCCAGTTGGGAAGGGATCCCATAATGTAGTTTTTTTTTTCCTTGAGTTACAACATGTAGGGACGAGAGATTGAACTCACGACCTCTTAGTCTTAATTCAACGTACGAAAGTATGTGAATATATGTTTAAGAACTAATCTTTTCACCTTGAATCAAATAAACAATCCAAATTTCTTGAGTTTGTTCTCTAACTAAATTAATTATAAACAATAGTTAAGCCTCGCTTTCCTACTTGTAAAAAAAATTTAATAGTAGCTTGGTCAAGATAGATGCCTTTTTATTTAAAGTTTGCAATATGAGAAGTGTCTATTTTTTTTAGTACAATATATATGATAGGGATTCGAATTCACGTCGAAGGTAAGTGTCTTAACCTCTATGCTTAGCTTGTCATGTAAAGTGTTAAAATATACATTTTTTAACAACATTATCTCATTAATTACTGTATATGATTATTTATTTTCCTTTATTTTTCATTATTTTCTGGATCAAAATTTTTTTCATACTTGTCGAACTCACATCCTTTTAGATGGAGATATATGTCAACTGTCGTTAAGCTATGCTCGCTTTAGCATTTTTTCTGAATCAAATTTAACTATAATCAAGTTGACATTAAATAACTAAATTCATTAGATTTATACACATTTATTGAATGATATTCCAAAGAGAGAAAAAAAGTGAATTGACAAACCCAACTCAACCCAATCCATCAATAGGAATTTTTCTTTTTCCCTTTTTTGTTTTATGAGAATACCCATAAATACGTGCATTAACTATTACGTGAGACATAGGAAAGTTTCACTTGTTAAAAAATTGTGTGGTCGATTTCAATAAAAAAAGATGGCGATACGGATGGAAACTTGGGTGGGTCCCACCCCATCCGCTCTATTTTTATGATATCCAAGTAAAGACTGTCAAATTATAAAAAAGGGAACCAGGAAAAGACAGACGATAATATTGTAATTATTATTGAAGAAAAAACAAGAATACAAACTACGGATAAATATGATAATGATGTAAGAGTTCGGAGAAACTTGAAAATGGAAAAGAAAAGAAAAGAAAAAAAAAACGGTCCTAGAAGTTAATTTTCAGTATTTTCATTTATTTAAACCTCAAATCTTTACAATAAATTCACATAAATTTATAATTTACGAAAACAATAATGATGGTAAATTATCAACTACTTAGAAACCAATAAAAAAAATACAGCGAAGCAGCATAACATTATTTGGAAGTTTTTAGATATTAAATTTAATAAAAATAATTGTAAAAATAGTATTTATATATTAAAAAAAGCATATTGATTGATGATAGAAATCACAATAGTAATAATCAATTGATGAATATTCTACTCTTTATGATATTTATAATTATCTTTAAATTTACCATGTCTGTACCATTGAACCCTCGTTAAGCAACATTTCAAGCCTGCCCATATTGGTTTTGTTTTCTGTTATTTGTAATTCCAACAAACTTTCTTTCTTCTAAAAGGAAAAAAAATCCCAGGAAACATGTCTTCAAAATCAGAGGATTACTTAAAAAAAAAAAAGTAATAAATAATAATAATAATAATAATAATAATAAAATCAGAGGATTACTATTTCAAGTGCAATTTCAAAATGGCCCCTAACATTTTCAAATCCCAATTAGTTAAAGGTGCTAAAGTGCAAAAAAATTATTCTAACTTTAAACCCTTCGTCTATTGGTAGAGTGTCATGCATGAATTATTAATTTAAGCAGACCCAAAAAAGGGAAGGAAAAAAAAAGAGCCTTTAAGAAAGCTCTGCAAAACAAGACACACATAATATATGCAATATATTGTAGAGTGCTCATAATTCAGGAAAGCAAAGATTGGTATAAAGCGAGGATTAAAAGAAGTGGTGAAAATAAGTTGCCATTAAACTACAAAGCCAAGTGCCAATGCCATTAAATTACAAAGTCAAGTGCCAAAGGAATCTAATCAAATTATTGGGCAAAGTTTGATTGTGTAAAATAATAACAGCTCCAAAGCTAAGAGACCCCATTAGTATAAAGTTTTAGAAACAAAGTTGGTTTATCCCATCTTCTTCTTTTTTTTAAGGAAAAAAATATTGAAGTTTGTTTGCTGTAGGGATCAAAGAAATGAATCTGAAACCTTGTCATTGCAATACACAGAAAAGAAGGCAAAAGTGCCTTTTGTTTTGGCAGCAAGTGTTTGATTGTTAGTCAAGCCAATCCGAGTGGCAAAGGCAAATCTTGAAATATCAAAAGCAGTACCCAATTTCCTTTGCCAATGGGACACAGAAAAGAGAATCATGCAATGACAAAGAACAAACAAAACAAATCTAACAGTAAATTTCAAGGACTAGCAAAATAGATCACATGGTCGGCGCGGGCAAAGCGCTGTCCTTCATGAAAAGAACTATTGGTTACTTTTTATTTTTCTTTTAAAGAGATGAAAGAACTTAGAAGGTCATATTTCATGGCTGCAGCCTTTTCTTTTTTGAACTGTCACAACATAAGAAGAGAGCAATTCTCACACAAAGAGAGGTTTTTGCAGTGAACCCAGAAGAGATTGAGTAAACTTACAAGTTTGGAACTCTGGAAATCATTTCAAGTGAGAGTTCTACCGTGGGGATAAGAAACCTACAAAGTTTCAAATGAGATACTGTGTTTGCTCGTGTTTGCAACTTTTGACCAGGTCAAATTTTATACTTTTGTGCACTTTTCCCCTTCCCTCCTTCTCCCCTTTTTTGCAAACCCTTTCTGGAGCATAAATGAATGACCTGTCACTGTCACAAAAAAAAATTGAAAGAAATTAGTGAATGAGTGAAAGAGTGGGAATCGATAGCGTATTTGATTAGATCATGATATAATGGTGGTCAATAATTTCATGCAAAGAGAAATATAGTCAAATACGGTTTAGTAGAAAGTGATAACGACATAAAAGTGTTATACATCAATGGATCCTCATCTTTTATCTCAAGTTGGAATAAAAAGATTATTATTATTATTATTTTAGTAAAAAAAATCAGCCTGAAGCTGGAAAAGAACAATAATTTCATATTCATGAACCCACCCCCCCCAAAAAAAAAAAATTGAGATTAGGATTTTAATTATAGAACCAGAATGCCTATCTCCTACTGTAAGACAGCTGCCAGTTTCTTCTGAATTAACTCCACTCCGAGACGAGGAGATAGCCGAGGAAGAGCTTCCTGCGATTCGAAAGTAAAGTAAAAGTTAACCTGAATATTCAAAAGCACATGTTCTAAAGTTTTAAATTTCTATATGAATTTCAGATTCAGGAATAATTCCAGTAAGCTAATGGCACATGAAAAAGGGAAGCAATRTGTCTAGCATTACTAGAGAATTGTTCAGCCAAGCAAAGGAATCCAAAAAAAAGGGAAAATGAAAGGACAGAATATCTCTAGAGTCTAAGAAGAACTTACAAACACAAATATTACATCGATTCGGTTCATTTGACACGTGGCACTGGTGTTAAAAGAAATTCCACCAATTAAAGCAAGTTTCCTTTGATGAAAACTGGGTCAAAAGATGAATAATAATACAAAAAAGGAATCTACATCCATCAGTGAGCAATGAGTCAGGATCAGCTAGTGTTTGTCTGATTGCTTTTGTGTTTCAAGTGCATTCTAGTTCATGACATCACGAAACAGTACATAACATAAGGAAATCTCTCGAGACCAAAATTTAAGAGAACAATGTAGAAAATATCCCAAAACCTAGGTTAATACGCTAACTTGCCGTCTGCGTAACAACAAAGTATTTTCTGAAAAGCATGACTTTAGATAGAAATAGAAGGATATAAAAGCAAAAAAGCAATAGAGATCGTTATAATTCTACATGCATCTGAATATCTCCTATGTCAAGTTACCCACTGGGGACAATTATATGGAGAATATTACTCCGTATCTAACAACAAAGTACAAATTTTCTCTAAATATAGGAAATGAACATTTGCTGATCATAAACTTTTTAAAATTATAACAATAACCAAAACCAGTTCATAATAAAACATACTTAAGATGGAATGCAATGGACCTAGATTTATAACCAATAATACACCTGACCTAAATTTCTAACTCTGCTGCTATCTCAAGATATCAGAAATACATGAAATGAGACTGGTTATGAAAATTACATAATAACAGCTGGCCTAGATTTTTAAATCTGCTGCTATCTCACACGCGATATTAGCAAATACATGAAATATGACTGACTACTTTTGAGGGTTAGAGGTCCAGCGTCAAATGATAAATTTCACACCTAATATGCCATATCAAAAGAGTGATCATTTTGAATACTTACATGTAAAAGAGAAGCTTTTGTAGATTAAAAAGACTAAAGCTAATCATACGATTACTTTTAGTATATAAATTGTCATGATTTTGAAAATTTACAGACCACACAACATCCATAAAAGAATTGAAACAAATTATGCTACAAATTTTACAGGGACTCTATGAAAAGACAATATATCCACAGCATAATCTTAATATTGTTGGAAAATGTTCACAAACACGACATTAAGATGGAAAAAGGAGTTCAAATTAAACTATCAACACAAACTCAAATCGTACAAGGCATCTATGTAAAGAGATTCCAAAAGAAAGAAGAAAGAGATGAAGACATATTAGACCACAGTAAACAGAAGCACAACATACATAAGTCTGCTACAGCCTGCAGGAATACTCAAAAACTTTTTAAGAAAAAAAAAATGAACGTTATTAAGTAAGACGTCTTATAATCAAAACATTCCAAGGAAAAATGAGATGTTCAAATTTTATTATTGAATACGTAATTTTAAGAACCAGAC